ACATACATACAGACAGACAGACAGACATACAGACAAACAGACATTCAGCTTTATATATAAGATACCTGAGCTTTCCTTGACATAAACTCTAAATATATGGGGCGATTTTGTGAGGTGTCGGTAAATGTTCTGAAAATCTCCTCTCCTTCAACGTTTTGTTTTCTTTTACTAAATAGCTAAAGAAGAGCAGAAATGCCCTACACAACATTTGTACCTATAGTCACAAATTGGTGAATTTCTGGGCAGAGTGAAGGGACGCCATACTATTCCAGAAAATTCCTGCGATTCCAATATTCCTGCAACTCTTGTGATTCCTCGACTTCCTATGTGCCGCATTACGGAGCGCTTTGCGAATTTCAGTATGCACTGTTTTTTCGCAGTATGCATCGTTGTGGGGCCCGCAGGAACCACAGGAATCGCAGGAATAGTATGGCCGGTCTCGAAGCGATATTATCCAAATTTGAATTCAACAGGCTTGCGTCCTTGCGAACGCTTTTACGTCATTAACAAGTTCATACTTGTGTCCAACGCGTTTCGGATATTTTACTATTTGAATCTCATGAAAAAACACGACTGAGCTTGCGAACAACGTTTGCAAAGTTCTCATAATTCTCAGAATAACTCTTCGCGCAATCGTTCATACGGTGGCGTTCATTTGGTGCCTCGCGGTGCACATTTTGCCTGACGTCTGCTTTTATGGCTTGTTTACGCTCTTCCTCCGGATTGTTTTGCTGTTCGTTACGCTGTCACACGGATTTCCAGTTTGCCATTCAGTTCTTCTGAAATTCTTGTTCTTTCCATTTCCGATAGTAGTCTGCTATTTATGCTAGTGCCATATATAGTGTGTTGACAGTGAGCGCCTCAAGATTATATCTTTGGAATGAGAAGCAGACTTCCCCTACCTTGTTGTTTCTATCCATATTACTACATAGTCAACGTTGTTTATCCGAATTACTCCTTGATGATTCTCATGAATTTCCAACCAATAATCATTGTTTTTGGGCGCTTTTATGGCTAAGCAGTCAATGCTATTCTACGCCGTTATTGCATCATGGTCATTAGTAATCGCACATCATAAGCATTGCTTTCTTCTTCGATTTTGATGTGATCGTAAGATATGTCTCTTAGTTCTCGCTTTTTATTGAGATACACCTATTGAAAACACAGCGCTCACCATTAAATGAAGTCAAAGATTTGCTAAACGCAAGTTCACATCAAAGGCAGCGTCCGGGCAAATCTGGAACTATGGGGGTTTTACGTGGAAAGTAATTTTTGGGGCCCTACCTAAGCCACTGCCAAACCGGCAGCTCAGGTAGTGCTGTAACGGCTAAGATATTCCCCTCGAAACAGGACCCCAGGATAGTATTTCGCATGGATTCATGGCGCAACCCGTGGGTCCTCGCGCGAAACTGATGGATTGCGCTTCCGCTAGTGTTGCGAAAGTGCAAAACAGAGGTTTTGGGCCCCATCTATATCTACTTAAAGGCAGTGTCCGGGCAAAATGGGGGTTCTGAGATTTCTCTGCCATGTGAAAGTAGCCCCCCTGAGACACAACATCGCGCAACTGCGAGCATAAAACGTTCGACCTAAAGCAAGAAAAACGATTGCAAATTGGGGAAACTTACGCCTTGGGGCGGGGTCCTCCGAGCTGTTTGAATTCCTGCCAGACGACAGAGTACGTATGCCGCCACAGTTAAAAACCGTGCGCTCTTTGCAACCTCTGCGTCTTAGCCTGGCGGGGATCCCCAAATTTCGAAATGTGAGGACTTGGAAAATGCATGTTCTCGCCGTTTTCGCGCCTTCTGATGTGGATTTTCGGATTCAGCGTTGCGGATAACCCCAGATAAGTTGATTTTTTAGAAGTCGAGTTTCTGCCCGGACACTGCCTTTAACCGGCTGTGCGGGCGGTCGCGCGTGCGCAATTGCGCGTCGACCTAGGACTCGCTCACTTGCTGGCAGCATCGATGTTTGGAGGTGAAGTATATGGAAAAGGCCCTCGCTTTAGTAGGGTTCGCTGTGTTGACAGCTTTACTATTAGCTGGGCATCACTACTAACCAAAACGCTACTTTCTTCGTTCAAATAAATACCTTAGATAGGATCAGATCAACACAGCACGACATGATTGTTTTTGTCGTGTTTCTACTAGCTCATGCAAATGGGCGCTTTTTCTTAGTGAGGATCTGCCAAACATTCTCGAATAATGAGCTCTGATTGTGTCACAGTACCTTTTTTATATCGTCTACTCCCAAGAGTATGGCGGGAGGAGCATATTGCCACTTGATATATATGCGGCGGTTTTTGATGACTAGACAATACGAAAAGTTGCTTTAGAATAGAAGATTCAACTTTTTAACGTGTCCATATGTCTGCAAATGCTCCGCCCGCCTCATGGGATTCGCTTAAATTTCATGAAAAGATGCTCATAATATCTTGTAGTTTGGCCAGGAAAATCTTCTCTTGCAAGTTGAAAGATTTCTCTCGCACGTGAAAGGGGTTTTGGGCGATACCTATTATCTCAAACTTGCTTTTCACTTGAGCATTAGAGGTATCATTCACTGTAGACCAGTAAATTCGTGATCAAAAAGTCGAGGTCGTGCTAACTCAATTCGAATGATTCGCTGTTCAGCTTTAGAGAAAGAAGAAACGAGTTTGAGTCTCATAATCTTGAACATGTCCCCTTCTTTCCTGATGCGCTTGTTGAAAACAAAATGAACGGTTAGCTTTAACATCGGTACTGCTTCTCACACTGACACATTCATCTTATTAGTCAGTGAAACTTTATACTCATGCTAAACACATGAATGACAAGAGCCTATTTGGAGGTGGAAAACGTATCAAGATAACAATATCCCAGATTTGAATCCCAAACAAAGCTGCGGAGAAAGAAAGATGCTTTCCATCAAGCAAATTACTGCCTGTGACATTTCGAAAAATACCTAGTTGCAAACAGTTCCAAGTACAAACAATCGCAGTACAAAGTACTGTGTGAAGTCCTGATTAGTTGGCTTGTTCCTGGAAATTTATGAGCTTCAGAAAACGTGCTATATGGAAATGAAGAGTAATCCCTGCTGGCAAAGTCTTTGAACATTCTTCTCGCTCAGTAGGGACAAACAAGCACCTCAACCACAATGAAAGCTAGCGCCAGTAAGCGGGCCCTGGGTCCCGGCACGTAGTGAGGGCGCCACGCGACCGCCCGCGCAGCCGGTTAAGTAGATTTAGATGGCGCCGAGGTTTTGCCGTAGTTTATCGGAGGCAAAACTGATGGATTGCGCTATGATCCATGCAAGATACGATTCTGGGGTCCAGTTTGGAGGCGTAAAACTCAGCCGTTAGAGCACTACCTGCGCTGCCGCTTGAGCATTGTCTTAGTTAGGACCCTAAAATTAGGTACTTTCCACTTAAAATCCCCAAAGCTCCAGATTTGCCTAGACGCTGCCTTCAAAGAATGAAGTCATTTGAGTCATTATTTTTTGCCGTCTCACCATCGCAAAACTAATATTGAAATATTTGTTTCGATTCTGCGATCGTGAATTGGGACAGGAAAGTGCGCGTTTTTTGGAGGAATTTTTGCAAAAATCAAAGATTTTATTTGAGTATCTTTGGAAATAGCTCCGTTTTCAGCTTACTTCATCTTTTATCTACAGTGTCAGTTTCTTACAAAGAAGTATACCTTACTCTCCATCCATCTTCATTTATTGGATTTTATATGTCTGCAAATTCCGTTCTCCTCCATTCCGTAATGACTAGAATCCTTCCGTGTCGTATGTGCACGAAGGTGGTTAGTGGTAGACTGTTTTATTCTTATCAGCATAGCACAAGAGGGCGTAGCGTCCAAAACGGACGCTACGCAAACATGAATTGATATCCCGGGTCGCATTTGCGCCGCAAAATGCGACAAAGTTTCTAGATAGCTAAACGCCTCTTCGTTTTTGGACGTTTCACCTGATGAGATACCCAAACCTTCAAGCTCGAACAGGTTCTCGAGCATTTCAGCTTCTTTCGTGGTAGTCACAGCTGTCATATTGTAGGTGACAAGAGTGGGATCTGAATTTTCGAGCATTCCTCTTCCGTATAGCAATGGTCCGAACACAGTTTTTGCAAGTTTCAGGCCAGATGGAGTTGTGGTATTCACATTCGCGTCAAGGATGAAGCTATGGTAGTGATCTAAACCCACCAGAATATCCGGATTTTGATGTTCTCCTCGCAGCTTCGAGTTCGATAGGCAGATCTCGTTATTCTGGAGAAACTGCCTGTCGTTGGTTGTTAGTTTTACCGAGGGAAAACCGTTGGTAAGGATCGGCTTGGTTTGGACTAAGATTTCTAAATCTTTCCCGTATGCTGTGCCTACCTTGATAGCTACTATGCTTGTTTGGAAAGTTTCCGTATGCCCGCCGATTCCGGACATTACGCACGTTTCCGTACGCATTGTAGGCAGACCTAGTCTGGTGGCAAGGTCCTCTTTTATGACCGTTCTCTGCGCGCCAGTATCGAAAAAGAAGAGGACTTTTTCGAATTCTCCGGTATTTCTATTCAATATGTTGCCCTCTGCTGTCATTAGTATGACTTGTTCTTTGGGTGATTTGGGATTGTCCTCAATCTCAGCGTTGAGGTGATTTGTAGGTTGAAATCGTGGTGCTGACGCTCTTAAGCGTGCGTCACTGGAGAAATTATTTTGTGGTTGAGAATAGTTTCTTCGTTCACTTAAATTAGCATTGTGATTGCCGCGATTTTGAGCGATGTCTTTTGCGTTCGATTTGCTTGTGAAGCATACGCAGGAGTGGTGTTTGCGACTGCAGAGAGGGCAGTCGGGTTTCTGACACTGAGCGCTGGTGTGCGTGTTGGAAAAGCACTTCCAGCAGAGGCCTTTTTCGAGGAGCAGTTTGCGGCGTTCATTTATGTCTGTAATCGTGCGACATTTCACTGATAAATGTCCTGAGTTTGCACAGAACGCGCATTTCTGAGTGGATTTCGGAGGAAAGGACGACGATGTGGTTTCTTCATGTCTGTTGACATGCTGACGGCTTTCGCTTTGGAAGTGAGTGTTTTTTGGCATGTATCCTTTCATTCTTGATTCCACGTAAACTTTGGCTGAGATTTCGTTTTCGATTTGTGCCATGAGATCTTCAATCTGTACCTCATCCCTATCCTTGAGGGATATGAGGACATTTTTTACGATTTCGTGTGGGAACTTTTGCAAAATGTTTTCTGTCCACATTGCATCCTTGGTCTTACGAATATCCTGACCCGCTGATACCATTTGGTTAATCAGCATGGAGATTTTGTCGAATACGTATGTGCAGCTATCTGCGCTGCTATTTGCGGGTCGCAGGAATGCTAGGCGTTGTACGATCCTTGCTCTGTTTGTAGGCTTATTGCCGTACTTCTTTTGCAGTGTGTCGATCATCCAGTTATAGTTTTGTGGAATTAATTGGATGCCCTTTATAGCATTGTCCGATTTGCCTTTGAGGCTGTCTCTCAGGTACATCATTTTTTCCACTGTGGATAGGTTCTTGTTATTGTGTATTAATGTTTCGAAAATTGCCCAAAATTCGGGGAAGTCTTCTTCCACTCCGAAGAACTTGGGTAATGTTAGCACTGGTGTTTTTACGTTGTTGTTTGTTTGCGCATCGTTACGCTGGCTACTTGCGCTGGCGCTGCTATCTTCTGATAGCCATTCTGACCCCTGACTGGTAATCATTGGGGTGTCATCAATCACTTGTTCTTGAGAATTTTTTCTTTGTATCTCATCTGCTTCCATGCTTTTGAACATATCTGGACGGTTATCCAGTGAAATTTTTCGCATCAGTCTGTTTTTTGCGCTTTTGGCCTCAGTCATGCGTGACTCCAGCATGAAGACCATCTCTGTTGCTTTTCCTAAGACCTCATTGAAATTGGTCTCCCTTTCTATCTCCTCGATAGCGTTGTTCAAGTTTTTCTTTTCGTCTTTTGTGCTCGTGCTATAGTACTCTTTGAATTGGTTTAGGAGGCTTTTTAGATCCTCTTTGGCTTTGTTTAGTTGGTTAATCCCCCCACTTATGAGGTCGATGGCCGCTTGGGCTTCATCGAGTTGGGATTGTTCGTCTTGCGAGAACGCAATTGGTTCCGCGTATACCTTGAAGTTTGCTGTCAAGGTTGTCAGCGTATGAACGCTGATTGCTATCGGTCTCTTATAGAGAACCGCTTCCATCTTCACTAGGGAAGAGGACGACCGCTAGGAGTCGATTTTTAAGACCACTAGGGATCTTTTTGGGCAGGTTAGACTGCCTGTGGTGACTCGTCTACGAACTTGGCGTAGACGAGGAAACTTACTTTTCTTTTTTCGGCTTTGGCCGATGCACCAAAAATGTCGTATGTGCACGAAGGTGGTTAGTGGTAGACTGTTTTATTCTTATCAGCATAGCACAAGAGGGCGTAGCGTCCAAAACGGACGCTACGCAAACATGAATTGATATCCCGGGTCGCATTTGCGCCGCAAAATGCGACATTCCGGATGTACTTAATTGTGCGAGATGCACTTGACTCATTCATGCATCCCGACCTTGGTTGGCCTTTATATCTTTAGTCCGCCTCCGCCAAATCCTTGACCTCCGTGTCCGTGAAGGAACATTCTCGTAACCAAAATGTTATCCTCTATCTCCGCTAACCCCCCGTACTTCAAGATGTTATCCACTTGGGTGATAATCGTTTATCTCTTGACATGCTAGGATAAAAAGTTTGTGAAAAAGGACATTCAGTTTTTCTCGCATTGTTTCAGAAAAACTTCTGCTAGTCCCTTAATTTTCAAAAACGAGTAATTTTAGATTGTGAAAATCTTCTTAACAGTATATCTGAAGGTACAGCTCTTCATTAAATGTAAGTTTTATGGAAACTTCCTTTGTTTCTTCTGTACTACATTTCGTTTCTCCTTTTTTGTGTCGTAACTGTTTTTGCGTTTTTTATCTAATTCTTTATATATTAGATGACGTTTGTTATCTTTTCATATTTTTATCAGTGGCCTCACGGGTCATAAAATTTTGACGGTTGAAAAGCATACTTATTCCTGAACGATCTTTTCTCAGCGCCTGCTTTATTACGAAGCTTGCATGGGCACCCCGGTGGTCGTCATCGCAGTCCACATAAATTATTGCTGTCAAGATCTCGCTAAACAAATGACTGCGACTTGAGCTGATCTGAACTGCGGGAAGTGATGATGTCCATTTCGGTTTTCATTAAATAGTTCTTGCATAGCAGAGAAGGCTAGCCTCTAATGTCCGGTCCCTTTCTATAATATTTGGTTCCGGATAGTGCAAAAAGTTGAAGCATTCCTCTGTATTATAGGTTTTGAATATATCTTGAATTTGATGTATATCATGACGAATGCAGTGATTGATTTGCTGATGCAAATAACATCTGAAACTGTTGCTTGCAGCAACGCTTCAGTCGATGTGTTATCACAGCTGTACGCTTCATTCCCCATTTTCATGCAGTAACAAATTGATGCCCTGTCTGCGGAGTTGCCCTGTGGGCGCGCAAAGGGACACTGTAATTGAAGGCAGCGTCCAGGCAAATCTGGACCTATGATTTTACGTATAAAGTAATTTTGGGACCCTAACTAAGGCACTGCCCAAGCGGCAGCGCAGGTGAATCGCTAACGGCTGAGATATGCGCCTCCAAAGTGGACCCCAGGATCGTGTTCGCATGGATTCATGGCAGCTTCGCGCGAGGACCCACGCTTTGCGCCAATCCATGCCAAATACGATCCCGGGTCCAGTTTCGTGGGGGATATCTCAGCCCTTAGAGCACTACCTGAGCTGCCGGTTGGGCAGTGGCTTAGTTAGGGCCCCAAAATTACTATCCACGTGAGATCCCCATGTGTCCAGAGTTGCCTGGACGCTGCCTTTAAGACTAGCCGTAAGTGGCGAATCAGTGGCGTGCCAGTGTTCATGCTGGTTTGAGACGATATGTGTAGTGGACTATGTAAACTGCAGAACTGACATTCTAAAGCGCCATTTTTAGCCTGTCTCAACTAGAGTGTCCCGTTCGCGTGCACCGGACATCCGTAGCGCCTCTCGCGTGCCGGCCATCAAAGGGCGCTATACTGCTCAAATCGAATGGTTTTGGAGGCAGTCGATAATGTCTTTATTTTTGCCTCTGCACGTAGTTTAGCATGTTGTATCCTGAATCACGATTCTTGAAAACTCAGTGCAAAACGCAATGCACATCCAACGGCTTCGCATCATTCTGCGAATGATTTGAGTCAAACACTGTTTTGATTGCAAACAACCTAGACAAAAAGCAGTTCAGTTTGTGCACCGCCTAATTTGTCCACCCATCTATGCGTCATCGGGTGGAGATAGAAACATTTGCCAAATTATAGTGACCAAAGTGCGGTATTCGCATCAATCATCTCATTCGCGTCACTCTGGACATGCCGTATTTAAACTAGACGGTCTTCATTCCATTAGGTTTACGTAGTGTTTGACTAGATAATTTCCAAGTTTCTCTTCTTGTATTCCTATTAGTCAGTCCGTGATGTTTTCAGCGGGCGCATAAATTCGCAACTAATTTGTCAGGTTGCAGTTTTTAAGTAATCGTAATCATAAATGATTGGAAATAATAAAAAAAGGTTTTTGTGGATTGGCAACAATGCGCTGATTGATGCTTCGTCAGGATGAGCTTACACAGAATGGTCCGTCCCACAAAATAATACCAAATTAAGCTATCGTTGGGTCACTGTTCATTAAGATTTTACACAGACAATGCAATTTTCTGACATTCGGCGGCGTGAGCTAGTCTTCCACAAGTGGGCACACATGCAAACTTCAGGTTTTTTCCAGTATGCGCGAAGAAGATGAACAAGCTTTACTTAGTCAGTTGTAACTTGATTATGTCCCCGAGAATTTTGCAAGTTTTTTGGACGCCATAGTTGCATATACTGAGCTGACTATTGATCCCGCATTCGGATAGCGCACACGCAACGCTACTGCTCCGCGTTTGCGACCTACATCTTGATTGCTATACAAGGTGTAAGTGGCATAAATGAAGAAGAATGTTACATTGTTTAGATGCAGCACTTGGTCGGTCACGGTTTGGTTATTGGTGGCAGTAAAAGCGAAGTGTATCACATTGTGTCTCTTCAGACTGTCACTCCTTACTATTTGCTTAGCAGTGGCAGCGTCAGAGCTCTCACAATTCCCCTTTTTGGCAATAGTACTTCAGATGTTTTGTTTTGCTTCGATAGTTCTCACAATCGCGATGAGAGTCTACAGTCCTCGCAGTTGGGAATCTAGGAGAAAAACGATGGCGAGAAGTGATTTTCTTTGATGTGTCCATCACTTATCGCTTTCGTTATTACAGCGTATAGTGTGTGTGAATTTCTGTTCGACGCCTAGCTTCGTTTTGAGTTTTCTTCCTATGTCTGCGCGTCGCATCTTGTTCTACCTTCTCTCACTCAGTGTTGGGTTTCCCGTAGTGGTCGCCATCGTTGTCTGACCGGTTGTGAGATTGCAGTTCGCCGACGTGGCCGCTCCTCGAAAAGTTTCACGATGCGTTCCTTTTGCGATGCATATCGCGGCTCCTTAGACAGATTATCCCTTTGGTTTTAGGCTGATTTTCTAGTCAAAATTTTTTCAGCATTTTTTGGGTGGATGTGATTGCAGTGAAATAAGGTTTTGGGCTCTCTGTGTGTGTCTGTTCGATAGTTCGTCGACCTGATCGTCGACGTCGTCGTCGGCCTGGATCGGGCCCCGACGAGACTGCAGTTCCGTCACGGTGGCCTATTTCGCGCATCTTCTCGTTCGCACACACAGACACCGCAAGTCAATCCTCATTATCAGTTAAATGCTTTCTAGTCATTTGGTTCGTGGAGTTCGTAACTTTTACTCTTCCAATCCAGTAAGACTTAGGCTTCTTTGTCTCTTCCTTGATAAGTTCCTTCTTTACTTCGAAACGGTAACAAACCGAACCTAACTTCTCAGAATCTTTACACTATTGCCCTTCAAGTGAAAGTTACTCTTCAAACCCTAAACCCGTTCGGTTCTTCTTTATCATAATCATACTTGGAGTATGTCCATTCTTCCTTCTGGTAACTCCCGCTTTAGGCATCTCGCGAATATACTAATATGTGAACCCATAATAACTGTTGTGCACGTTTTAAAAATTCTGCTGCTTCAGATATGGGCTTAGTCCAGCTTGCATTGGCGTTACTCGTTTTGACGAGCGCTTCATCGGCTAGGAAGACGTCGAATCAGCTCATTTCACTGCACGAGGAAAACTGGACAGAGATCATGAAAGGCGAATGGATGGTGGAATTGTGAGTTTTACAGGTGGTTTATAAGAATATTTTTGTGAACTAAAAAATTTCGAATCATTCATTCTGAATTCACGATATCTGACTTCAAGTTGAGTGTAGCTTGATGTATTTTTTAGAAGGAACTTGTTCTAGATCCAATTATCTTGGTTAAATATGAACTATCCATCGAAATGAGGTCAGTATAGTGGCGCGCCACTCTTTCTTAGGTCGTCATCGATTTGCAAAGTGCATTAGATAAAACTTGATCTGCTTGCGTTGAAAGAAGCAGAGCGGTAGGGGGTTTAGCTCCATCTGGGCGAATTTAGCTTTTGTCGCCATTAGGCTTGAGATATACCTGACGATGGAGGTATAGCGGGTGTTGGCGAATCGCTGATGTCTGCGCTGCCCTTAGCTGCTCGTGGCTGCTGCGCTGGGTATGCTGTGGGTGCAAGAACGAAGTAGCTTTACCCATTATTATGCTTAGCTTAGGTTATTAAGGAAAGTAAGTCTTGACGATTACCAAAATTGAGAAATAATATGAGACCCAAAAAAGTCGTACTGTTTTCACAAAGAAATTTTCTTTATAACAAGTATAAAATGGCGTGCCAAATGTTGCATAAACTGAGAAAATTTTAATCATTTGACAGATATCAAGCGAGTGTCACAGTTGAACCTTGATGTGTGCTTGAGGCAACATCTAAACTATCTAGGTCATAGCAGACGTTAATTTGTTGAGGTGTACTAGTAATATCCCACTGAATCGTTTGAATCCTCTAGCTTTTCATCGTTACTCTAATTTGACTACGCAGTTGATCAGATTATCTTTGTCGGCTTTGTCAATTCTTTATCGATTTTCTTATCGATGCATTTGCGTTTCGGTGAAAATTTGTCATAGTTCATCAGTATCGAAACTGCTCTGAAAATCCTTCAGAAGTTCAGAAATATGTTAAAAAGGAGCAAATCCGAGCAAAATCAGCGTTAGCAGCTCGAAGCAGCTGAGAGAAGCTCACAAAAAGTGAGCTTCATATCGCGTAGCAGCGAGGAGCAGCAACGAGCAGCTGGGAGCAGCAGAGAGCAGCAAGAAGCAGCACAGCATCGCTAGCTATAGCGGGTCTGTTTCGCGTTGGCTGCAGCAGCTAGGAGCAGCAGCGTCGCCTGGCGTCAATCGATACGCACAAAAGACGTTGCTGCTCGCAGCGTCTTATCGTCAGCTATAGCCACCCATCGTCAGGTATATCTCAAGCCTTAGAGCTTCGAATCGTTTTTGGGTCTGCGTAAAGGAAAGTTTTTTGCTAACTAACAAGGGAAGGATGGTTGGTCCAAGTGGCCTTTTTAGATGGATTGTATACCATGTTAGAGGGCATAAAACGTTGATTCCAAATCTGTCTCACTATCTGCGGCGCGTTCCTGGGCGAGGAGTTATGAGCGTTCATTGGAGAAAGAGATTGAATGTGCAAATAATATAAAAACAGTAGTAACATTTTTCCTAGCGCTTAAATGGACCAGTAGTGATCTTTCCAGCACTCTATAAAATAAATGCTTTTACATGAAATTTATACGCACTTCGACTGTCTCATTCAAGCGCTGGGAAATTTTTTGCAACTTTTTTATCCCAGAAAAACATTCATTTTTTGGCTCCTTCAAACGCTTATAACTCCTCGTCCAAGAACACGCCGCTGATAAGGAGGACAGATTTGGAATCAGCATTACACGCCCTCCAACATCGTGTACAATTCATCGCAAAAGGCCACTTCGACTGAACATCCTTCTCTTGTAAGTTGATTTTCCACAGCTCTCCTGATCAAATAAGGCTTTGCGCTAAGGTAAGCGATTGTCCAATTAGTTTCCTTGGTTTCTGTTCCACACTCTAAGAAAGTCATAAATCGCAACCCTGTGAGATAGATAAAAAACGATGTGATAGATGAAGTGAAAGTAAAAGTATCGTTCTCGCTTGCACACTAGTTCAACGCGGATCCTTAGTCGTGCGCGATATACCGTGATTCCATGCAGCATTTTATCTTCTTGAGTGCAGAACCGGTGTTCTTTTGCACTGGTCTCGCTGAAGGAATTCGACCTTGATATGCGCCTCCTCGCGCTCCTCTCGCGTTTTGCATGGCGTGTGTCGAGAGCCATTGAGCCCTTGGAGAAAATATTGGGATTGCTGGAGAAAGTGGAAAAATTGAGGGAGGGAGGGGGGGGGGGGGGTGCGGTGTGATAGAACAGGTATGTCAGTCATTAGGCGCAACACGTTTTGTTGAAGCTTTTTTGCCCTATTTGGAGTGCATCGTTGTAGGAATTCGTGCTCGCCACAAACCTGTGCGTAATGGAGCGTTTCCGGTTTCATGTTTGTTCTTTCCTATTTTGGAAAAAGCTTTACATGGCGTGGATGATTTGCGATGATGATGCAATGCTACAACTTGTACTTAGTCGCTAGTTTCCGTTCTTTTCATATTAAGGGGATGGGCGAACTTTAAAATAAGTGGGAATAAGTCATAGATTTAGGAGGAGGAGGATCAAGGAGAGTCAAGAGTCTTTCCTAGTGACTAGTTTTTCCCGATAATTTTTCGTTCTATTAGAGCGCGAGTGGCCGTATTTGGCTCGAAACTGTTTAGAAGTGAAGGACGGCCGAAAGTTAGTACCGTTTATGGTCATGCATATGTCTTTATGAAAAGAAAAAACGAGAAAACGCGCGAAGAGCTTATAGAGCAATGCATATTGTTTTGTCGTAATTCAGAATGTTCCTGGACCCTCACTTTCGCTAATATTGAAGGCATAAAAGTGGTAAAAATATTGTTGTTGGCGTAAGGTGTGTGCTTTCGATTACATTCAAATCCTTCAGCCATGCTCCTTGGTGCCCGGCTTGCAAGGATCTGCAAAAAGCTTGGAATGCATTCGCTGACTGGTCAAAGGATCTCAATATCCGGGTAAGCCCTAATCGCCGTCCAACTCTCTCTCTCATTGTATCGCGGTTTATATGTGATTATTAGGTTGGCGAAGTTGATGTGACAGTCAATCCTGGTCTTTCTGGTCGCTTCCTGGTTACTGCTCTACCTACAATCTATCAGTTAGTCTCGCCTGTTGTAATAATTATGCTTCTTATGTAGGTTTGTGCTTCAGTGTGAAGGATGGTGTATTCCGCGTCTATTCTGGTCCAAGAGACAAGAACGACTTCATCACTTTCATCGAGGATAAGAGGTGGCGCAATATTGACCCAGTCCCAGATTACAAACATCCTAACAGCAAGCAGTAAGTGACTTCAGCATTGAGTTGGCTTAGGATTTCTGTTATACTCCGATTTCTTCAAGTTTTCTGTTATTGATTTAGCTTAAATGTTTTTCGAATGACTTGTGAAGAACAATTTATGCTTCCTCACTTTTGTCATCGGAAACCCATGGGAAAAAGTGTTTTCCATATCAAAGTGCATTTTCATCAGTCATGTTTTGTCGTGCAAAGTAAATCATTTCAGAATGGCCGTTGTTGCCGTGTTCTTCAAGCTTTCTATGGCTGTACGTGATCTTCATAATCACTTAGTCGAAGTGAAGGGAGTGCCTTCATGGGCGTCATATTCTCTCTTCGCGGGTGTTACGCTTGCTCTCGGGTGTATCCTAGGATTCGTAAGTTTTTTCTTATCCTTTAGAAATGATGTTCGCTTTATCACTTTGCTTTTCAGTTCATTGTTCTTATCATTGATCAAGTGTTCCCGACTGGTGCTAAGAAAACAGCGGCAGCAGCAGCGAAAAAGGAAGCTAAGAAAGATTCAAACGGATCGGTGAAAAAGTGTAAGTTATTTTTTCACTCAACAACTACTGCTTTGATAGTTCATAAAAGGCTAGCTAGATTTTGACTTTGTCCATTAAAAAGGGCACTCTGATCTCATGACGTTTAGTACTCTTACATGTATGCACTTCCAATTCATGCAGAGGTGCGCTTGCAGAAAGTGCGATTTGCTGTGGAAAAATGATCATTAATGATTTGGTTTTACTGCTAGTGCAATCATTTCCATAGTAATTTATCTCCTTTGCGTCACGCTAGTAAAGGTGGAACCGGAAGAAGGGAGGTATATGGCAGCTATCTTTCCATTTTGATGAATGAGAGGTAGCATGCGCGCTCCACATGAATTCTGTATCCACGAAGTCTTGACCAGATCGACCTGTAGTATCCATATTTTATCCTGGACCATCTTTTCCACTTGTTGCTACTTTAGTAACATTTATACCGAGTACAAAGCTTTCTGTACCTCTTTTGATACTCATTATTAATTAGATGTCGGTCCCGCAACATGGGAACATATATGGAAGTATTGGTGTCAGCGATCCTGTGCCGTATTCATCAACACACCTAGAGGTTGAAATATATTATATCTTGAGAGTGTATAAGCGTATGCAACGCACAAAGTATGTTTGATCTCATTGTAAAACATACCTTGTGTTATCCCAAAAAGGCAAGTCCCTATTCATGTACGCACCTTGACCGTAAATAAGCCGTAAGGAACACGAAATTCATTGGTTGAAGGTACAAATTCAAGGTAAATTCAACCCTAGCATCAGGCAGGGTTAAAGTTACCTTGAGTTGTACCTATGCCTTCATCCTTGAGATACGTTTATGATATGCTCATGGCATTTTGGGGTTGATTCATACCTCAAAATATGCCTTACTTGAGAATAACTTATGGATTTGTGTATGCGCTCTTCAGGTTTATTTTGACTTGAAGATATGTTGATGAAAGCAGCCACTGGTTCTAGTTAGTCTACGGTGTAGCTAACCTAGGGAACAGACCAGTGACTGTATTCTTCAACGAGTGCAGGGGTCCCGCTACCCAGTGGGCAAGCGGAAACAGCGCCACAGGTGTGAAGTGATAATCACAAAAAGCAGGGCTTAGCACCGAACCCACTAGCTTCGTGGATACCGATCTCTTGGGTTAAGCCTATCCACTGGGTTCGTTGATGATTACAGCCACAGAGCTAGTAGACATCACTGTCCCCACCCATTCCCTCTGAGAATTCTGAAAATTCGTTGCGAAAGTTTCTTATTGTGAATTTGGGTGCACCACAAACCATAGACTGTAACTGCCTTGCCACCTGATTGACCCCAGCTGCCGTTTAATCACAGCTGGAAGAACGGCGGTATAAGTACGGGCCTATGAGATCAAGGCTGTGCTCCCGTTTCATCAATTCACTTCCTTCTGCCTTGAAAGTATGAAGTCATCCAGTTTACTAAATTAATGACAATCATTTCAGCGGAAGAATCGAAGAAAAAGGAAAACAGTGGATCACCAAAGTCTTCAGCTGAGACGAAAAAGACGAAGTAAGCTGCCGTCATGGACGTCATCAATGTCTTGCCGAAAATGTTCCACTCTTGTCAGTTAATACACGGCATTTTCTTTATATACGACTGATGATTTCTCGTAATAGTACTGGCCGTGTTGATGTTTCTTTCAATCTCCATTTTTGCTTAAGTCACTTATCGCTATGGGTTATATCGCAAATGTGGCCTCGTTTGACCGATGAAGGAGATACTATCCTTTCGTTCATTCTCTTTTTTCTCGCATCATTTCCTCTTTTCTTTTTCTTGTTTTTCTTTGACACAAAGGTTCTACTGTGAAAATTGTTGGATTGTGAAAGAATGCGGAGACATTACGGAGAGCGAGCCGCGGCTGGATCGATGTGGCGGTGAGTAGCCGACATTCGAACGATCGTCGCGTCTCCCTCCATCGTTCCTCTGGCTAATTTCGTTCGTGCGTCTGTCCGTTCGTTCGTCCGGTTGTAAAAGACAGTTCTCTTTGCCATCAGTTCTTTGCTTGCATTCCTGAACATTGTCTTTGTTATGTTTGTTACGAGTGCTAAAGTATTATGAAAGCTATTTATTCGATGTTTGTAAGTTTCGTGAAAATATGTTTATGCTTATATACGAGATAAAAACCCTCTATAATAAAGCAATAGTTGTTAAGTAACACTTTCTCATCGCTATGGTTCCACCCGAAAATACTGCTAGAAACTGACTAAAGGTCGTAGGTCAATCATCAAATCTAAGGAAGCTAACTCCAAATAATCAAAATATCATAGTTTGTTCCATTTTGTCGATTGGAACGCTGATGATGAACGGCCTATCCTGAGGTGGAGCCGTAGAAGGTGGATATAGACAGGTGGGTCAATATCTTACATCGGGTCAGATCTTTTTCAAGGGGTGTCTACAGCTCATCCTTGATTGGTAGGTGCCAGGGTAAGCGAGTATATTCAGGTTGGAGTCCGCGCAGAATTTACGTCACTTGGATTGATGCCAGCATGGTGAGAGACGTCAATTCTGCGCGGGACCCCAACCCGAACAAAATATTCGCTTACCCTGGCACATACCATTACGATGAGGATAGAGCAATACCTCGATAGGCGCCACCTGTTTGGTCTACTGATCCTTTTCGCACATGCTTTTATATGGCGTTCAAGGAGCAGAGGGATGAGGCGGCGCATTGTGGCGGTTTTCGTTTTGCTATATACTCCAATACTACAAGTATAATATCGTTGCGTTTCTCGAGGAAGACTTCTGACGTGGTAGGCGGTAGGCTTATTCAGAGAATACTTCGGCCATTTGAGGGTTATATTGTTCTTATATTATCGAGCCTGCCCATTGATTAAGCCATGGCCCAAGTGAATAATTCATGAGGCCACAAGCGAGGAAATCTCTCTATATTATCCCAACTATGATGTACTGGGCCATCGCCAAGTCAGCATAGCTTCTGCACGTTACCCGCGCAGAAGTTTGCACGTACATACTCCAGCTTCGGGGTGGGGGGGGAGGAGTGGGGAGGAGGTGAATCTTGCCGGAGGGAGCGCGGACAGCGACAAAGCACGCAGCTCTACACGTCACAGGCATAGAAATTTGTACCAGCTGCCCACGCGGGGTGGAGCCAATCGGCGACATGTAGTCCCGTACCCTATTCGGGCTTTATGATATGCAAATTTTCAGCACTTGGGCAGGGGCTTCAGAGCCTACTTCGATATTTCAATATCCATCATCTTTTTGGCGCACGGAGTACCGTAAACCGAAACAGTATGCTGGAAACCTTACTAGCACTATCGGTTATCGAAACTGGCTCAAGAAAACTGTCGTTTTAGTTGATTGCCCGGGGTGGCGGGGTGGTAGACTGACAATTGCCAAAATGCCCGCCTTCGTAAACTACTCGGGGTATAGGAACAAATATCGTTGGTAAGCTCGCCGTCGTTTACTATCGTTCTTTTCGCACATTTCATTGCATATCTTGTGCAAACCAGTAGCCGCAAGTGTTTCGTTTCTCCGCTATCCGACTATCCGTTCCTTTTTATATGCTACTGACTAGGATGTGAGGGCCATTGGACCAGTCCGCGGAGTTGCTTGCTGACAATATTGCCCCCCTTCCTCATTTTTGATATAGGCAGCGTGCCGTCATAAGCCGAGAGGTCTGGTGGTAGATATACTGTTCCTGCGTTAACTGACAAGGGAAGGATATAACATTAGTTGGCAATTGAAGATGGTATGTATATCATTAGATGCGCCTTCAAACGCTGATTCCAAATCTGCTTTCCTTTTTTGCGGAATAAGTTTCCGAAAGAAGCTATGAACGTTTGAATGTCCAGATTTGCCAAGCATTGAGTGGCTTAAAATCAGCGAAAAGCTCTAAAACAACACCTATGCGATTTCCACCGGCTTTCTTCCTTTCTTACAAACAATATACTTGATACAAAAATGATTTTCCATTTTCAGGCGATTTTGTACAGCTTTTCGCCAATTTTAGCCCACCTAGACCTTGACAAACTTAGACATTTGAACGCCCAGAACTTCCTTCGGAAACTTATTCCGCAAAAAAGGAAAGCAGATTTGGAATCAGCATCAAAGGCGCGTCTACTGATACACATATTATTTTCAATCACCGACTAATGCTGGTATCCTTCCCTTGTGAGTAATCTACTAGACTACATCTTTACGGTTTTGGAGCTAGAGAAATCCGAACTAAGGAGAGGGACATATACTTTTTATTACGGTTATTCGATTCTCATCAAACATTTGCATTTCCACGATGGGAGAAAATGTTCGCAGATGCAGGAAAACAATAGATAATCGGCTCATATTTTCGCCAGCGTTCGTCCACGATACTGTGCAGGCATCGCTCTGAAACGGTTTTGTCTTTGCCAAATAGAACCGTTTTCTCTGATCTTTTCTTCGGAAATGACTGTTCATTTTCTGCCAAACATTTGTTGCGGTCCCCTCTCGACAACTTTCATAAGAAAATCCACAAAGCTTTTGGCAGAGAACTAGACACCAGATATTGAATTGAATTTGCCCTAATCTTCGGATTCTATCCGAATTTCTAAATTCCAGACTTTGCAATTTTGCAAAAAAACTTTTTGTCAGGAAATTTTCATTAAGTCAGTCCAAGTTACAATTTTTTTGGAACTTGTAAGAAAATTCTACTCTGCAGACCACTTTTAAGCTTATTCGTACATTTACAGATTTTAGAAATCCTTGGTCTTGGGAGCTTTGATGAATCGGTCTTTGTAGTCTGGTCTCGATCTTGATATAATATGCGCAAAAATTTACGAATATTCTGCACGCGATGCTTATGCTGTTTTTGGAAGTAAATGTTGACTCAGATCCAGTAATCGCATAGCACTGCTCAAAACAACTTTATCATTATTTTGATCCTAGCAGCTGTTGTACGGTGAGCTGTCTGATGTAAAAGGGCGGAGTTTGTTTGTAGCTTCACTATTATATGTTCACCTACCAGGCATAGCTGCAGCTTTTTAAATCTTTAAATTGTGATCATAGAGCGTATCACCTTTGCCTGAGTGTTTTTTGCAGGAGATAGAGAGGATAGAGATAGAGAGGAGGAGGCGAAGGACTAGAGCTCTTATTAAAATTCACCGGTTTGGAAAAACGCATCCATTCGTGCGCGCGGCACCACTCGAGGATCTTGCTGCAGGCATTCTTCTTTCTGGAATGCTTTTTTTGGAGGGGTAAGCCGCCTAATCCAGAGTCAGGCGCTGCAGCATACTGTAGCTCTCTCAGTGTTACTGAAGCTTGCAGTGGTTTGCGATGCAATAATCGTGACATTTCTTAAACCTAGTAGATTCGAAAGTTAATGGCTCGCGTTGCTAACAACATTTGCGCGTAAACAGTAGCAACGTGCGCCATGTTCAAGCGCAACTCGCAAGCACGTTGTTGGAATTTACAAGCATCGGCATTGTTTCCGCGCAAATGTTGTCGTCTCCGTGCACTATATAAACCGTCAATGCATTGCTTATGCACAGTCTATCGGTTGTAAATGCCTTTCAAGTACTTGGGATAAGCGCAAATCTGATCAGTGACCGCTGCTATCTCAAACCATCATTTTTTTAAATACATGTCATCAATTCAAGTCGTGATCTAGTTGTTTTACCCCGTTATCTTATCTTTGCAGGATTGTATCTCATGAAAATGATGTTCAAACATTTTTTTCTTTTCTCATTTCGGTCTTTATTCTGTACTTCTCACTCAACAAAAATTTTTTCCAACCATTCAGACAAAATGGCAGAGGCAAAGGTTGAATGGGCCGCGCTTGAGTCAAACCCGGATGCTATCAATCCGGTAGGCTTGTTTTGCTTCAGTTTGATTTGCTTATCTCATCTCAAATATGATTACACATTTACAATTTAGTTCTTGGAGAAAATCGGTGTGAAGACCGTCAAATGTGTCGATGTGCTGTCATTTGATGACGAATTCCTCGATAATCTTCCTAAACCTCAATACGCAATGCTTCTATGTCTACCCGATTACAAAAAGGTTTGTTGATATTTTTGTCCAGATTTTATCCATAGGGTCTACAGCATAGTTTAGGTTGATGAAATAATGGCGCCAACATACGAGAAGCTTCGCTCAGAATGTGTAACGCCCCCTCCCAACGTGTTCTTTATGGAGCAAAAGATAAGCAATGCTTGCGGCACGTTTGCGTTGTTCCATGCATTGGCGAATATCGAGGATTTGGTAGACCTTGGTTGGTTTTTCGTCGTTTTTTTCACTTTTGGTACCGCATTGTTTTACGCAGTTCTTTTATTTTCATTTTACATAAATCAAAAGTTATGCAGTTACCGCAGTCATGTGATATTCACTTAGATTCATCGTGTTAAATTTATATCAGTAGTGCATTCCTGCAATGAAAATGGTTGTTGAGAGAAGGGAGTAAAAGTGCTAAGGATGGATGGGAGGAATGTAGGGCTTGCCTTTGCATATGAAAGAGATTATCTCTTTTTTTTCGTTTCTCTGAGAATTTATATGTTCAGTATCACAGTGACGTATCACACATTAGGCGTATAAGAATAACTGACCATCTGCCGATGGTTGTCAACTGATAATGCCACCAAAGAGGTTTTCATTGTCTAATCCCCCACCCCAGGGCCCGGCATGAGTCCCTTCTAGGTTTTTGAAAATTAAGTCCTCCTTGACTCTCGCAAAATTTTACGAAGTCCCTTTTGATCATTTTCGGAAACATGAACTCAAAAAACCTAACCTAAGTTGTGTTTTTTTGGACTCGCAAAACCGATATCCTCTTTGCTTTTTCGCCCCGAAAACGAAGTCCAGTCGCTTCCAAATCTGTGCCGGGCCCCGCCCCCTCCCGCCCCCCACCCCCTTCTGCAACGGAGTACATCACAAGCATCATTGAGTGAGCTCTCATTAATTCGTTATAGGTTCTGGTCCTTTCCACAAATGGCTGGAAGCTGCCAAAGGATTAGGTATCGATCAAAGATCGGATCTGCTTGCTAGTGGTAGGTTTCATTTATATTATACTTTGTGTTTGATTTGGTGAAACGATTTGAAATGGTGAGATAGACATTCTTTTTTTCAACAGCTAAGGGACCATTTGTATAGGATTTCTGTTTGTATATCTTATGGCGAATGGGTATTTTTTAATGAGCATTCTTAAGATCCTTCACTTGCTGCTGCTCATGAGGAAGCTGCTCGTCGAGGTGATTCTCGCCAGCCGGAGGAAGTTCAGCACCATTATATCTGCTATGTGAATAAGGATGGAACTCTTTATGAGATTGGCAAGTTTTATCCTATTAATTCACTTCCATAAAAGATCTTCTTTGTTTATTCGTTTTCTACCTACTATTTTATTCATTTTCTGCCGTATTTAGACTCTCGAGCTCCATTCCCGCGTCCGATCGGTGTAAGCAACGGTGATAAACTTGTCAAGGATGCTGGCGCTGCTTGCAAACATCTGATGGAGAAACTGGACAATGTCTCATTCGCGGCTATGGCACTTGTCCCAAGATAAGCGTGAGCATAATACAACGGCGCTTTGGCTTGATCATTCCGCGGCATAATAATCTCGCATCTGATCCCCTCGGCTTTGGATCTTCTTTTGTGGTGTGTGTACGACGATGCTTTATGTGATATCGATAACTCGGATGGTTCTCAGTCTTTGCTAAATCTGTCAGCTTACATTTTCTATCTGTGATTATTTCCGGTTTCTAGGCATGTTGTCACGGTTCTATTTACGGCTTTAATAAAGGGCTTTGATTACTTACTGTATTTTCTTTATTGTTTTGGTCTAAAACTATCTCCAAGCTTTCCATTTTAGAATATGAAAGATTTTGAGTAGGGTCAACAGAGCATTCAAAATGTCCATGCCAACATGGCGAGCGCTCGAATCAAATCCGGATACCATAAATGCGGTAAGATTGAAACTTTTTTGGGGATTTGAGAGCAAGTCGTAAGAACCGTCCAGGGGAATTTTTTGCCTTGATAAATCCGAGTGCGAGTGATTTGCTTTATCCATAGAAAATAACCGCGCCGGAATTAGCGCTTTTGGATTTTGTATCCTTCGCTTGTTTAGGTATTTTTCCCTTACATCCATTACGCTCTTGCTGCAGTGATCCAAGATTGTGGCAGGTCCGTCGGACCCACACATGTGCACCGAAAACTGCCACTCTAAGCCTTGCCGACAGCAGAGAGAGCGCGCGAATCTGGATCAGCCAGTGAATTTATACCTTTTGATCGACCCAGTGAGAATCTTCTTCATGGGAACCCGTCAGAAAACTAACTTCGGCTAATCACCGTTTGAGGCTCAGCGTCATTTTACGCCATATCAGAGATGCCAGACCTTAATGAATGGCGTCAGCGCAAACGTCCTCATCAACAGGCAGTCGCTGAATGATCTGTACGGAAATTGAAGGAGATGAGAAGCGCACAGATATTGTAGAGTCGAAAAAACCGGTACAGGTGTTTTTCGAATGTGAACACAAATATGGATATCCGGGCACTTTGTCCCCATTTTCCACAATGATATGCATAAAAATGGACTTTGCCTACCTTATAAACCCCCGCTTGCAAAAGAGAAATTTGAAAACTTGAAAGAAAAAAGAGAGCTAAAACTTATGTGTCCCAATACCTGCTCCCGAATTATTTGCTTTCTAAACCCGCCAGCCTGGTCTCGTCCAATTTCACAGCGAAGGGCATTGAAAAACACCCATTTTCGGCGTTCTCAAACCCTCTTAAGTGGATTTTCGGCATCAGCGCACTGTATAATCCAGGTAATTGAAAATTTGACTAGGGTGGGATTTGCCAAGTCACCGCCTTTAATTGTTAATTCGAGGCTGGCAACGGGTGAATATTTCGCAATCTTCTGTCCTGTGAATATTTCGCAATCCTCTGTGCTGATATGCTATGTCGAAACATCTTCGCGGATTTATTTTCATCTCAAGACAGTCTACCTCGCCACTTTTTTCTCAATCTCTTGCATTTGTTTTACTGTTCCGTTTTATTTTGTTTATTCGTGTTTCCGTTTTCTTTTTTGTTTTCTGTTTTGTGTTCAGGAGGGATTCAAGAAGAAGGGAAAATTTATTTATTTATTTATTTGATACGCACAAGGCGTGCCCAATCACACAGAAACGAATCATCACACTAAACAAATAGCAACACAGCAAACAAAAAAAGAACAAAAACAGGCAAACACCCCACTAAATCAGCTCAAGTCCAGCCCGCAAAAACTTTTCTAGGGATAGAAAGGGAGTGAACTTGCCTAGACTATATGAAGTCATGAGTTGGCAATTACGCAGGAAAAGGGGGCCACTGACGTTATAAATAAGGAAATTGTAAGCGATGCATGCGCAACCGTTTCAAAATCGCTTCGGCATCCAAACAAGCAGCGTCGCTTTGCATTGGAGGATAAATGATAAGAATTGGAGGATAAAGGATAAGAAGACAGCTGCGAAAGGGAGTGCCAGCTGCATGGCATCCTAAGGGCCTTGCAGTTTGGAAAATTTACGGGAGGAGCAGCGGATCGCTGCGAAAGGGAGTGCCAGCTGCATGGCAACCTAAGGGCCTTGCAGTTTGGAAAATTTACGGGAGGAGCAGCGGATCGCTGCGAAAGGAAGTGCCAACTGCATGGCAACCTAAGGGCCTTGCAGTTTGGAAAATTTACGGGAGGAGCAGCGGATCGCTGCGAAAGGGAGTGCCAGCTGCAAGGCAACCTAAAGGTCTGGCAGTTTGGAAAATTTACGGGAGGAGCAGCGGATCGCTGCGAAAGGGAGTGCCAGCTGCAAGGCAACCTAAAGGTCTGGCAATTTGGAAAATGTACAGGAGGAGCAGCGGTGTCCGCATTCACGATGTCAGGTGAGCACCGGTTTGAGTAAGTAAGAAAAACTAGTTGCAAGGCAACCTAAAGGCCTGGCAATTTGGAAACTGTACAGGAGGAGCAGCGGTGTCCGCATTCACGATGTCAGGTGAGCACCGGTTTGAGTAAATAAGAAAAACTAGTTTGATCACCAAAATTGTTGACTGGTTCTAGACAGGATGAGATTATTGGTCTTTTCAGCATGCACCAACAATAATTGCGTTTCAACCAGATTTAACTGGAGTGTTTTAATCAAGTTGTAAAAAGTCGGCATCATTAGGTGGTGATGAAGAATTCAATCAGCTATAGGTCATTTTCAAAATCTAATGACGGGTTTGGCTGCGGTCTTTGCGCCAACAGGAACGTAAAACGCTTATACAAAAGCATCACCTCAACGCTCAGGTCAGTCACTTTGGTGTCTAGTTACTATGATACGTAGGCAGAAAACGTTTAAGTAATAGAGATGGCCGAACAATGCGTTTGGCGGTAGTGCGTACGTGTCGCGTGCAGTCGCGCCGTCACTATTTTTCGAATGCTCTATACTTCCGTGAACAGCTTCCTATCGTATTACATGCATTGAAGAACGGAGATATGTTTGTTATTGCATGAATTGTGCAATAACATGGGAGGACTTCATGGGTAATTGTTCTTCGCCAACATCTAATCACATTGTAGTCCAAAACCTGATGAAGACCTTATGAATGGAGAGTCGTCAATAAAACTAGAGGCCTTGAGCTTTCTTGCAACACCTGTACCGGTTTAAAGAGTGGTAAAAAGAGGTTGGCTATACCGTAACCCCTTACTCACCTCCCGCCATGGGGCGTTCATAGCCAGAAGTACATAGAAAGATACACCCTTGCCATATAATCTAGCGGAATGAGAGGCTAAAATTAACTTTGGAGGAGTGCGCATATTTTTTTGTAGAAAGTGGTTGCAATCGCATAATGGATATTTTTAGTTCATGAAGAAAATCGGTGTACAAGGAGTCGAGTGTGTTGATGTCTTCTCATTCGATCCAGAGATGCTAGAATTCATTCCCAGCCCACAACTGGCACTAATTTTATGTTTTCCAGAGCGGGAAGTGAGGCTTTTTCTTTCACTTTTCCTGCCAGTGGATACGATATTCTTGCAGGGTAAAGTGCCTCTACAAGCTGTATATGAGTCCCTAAAAGCTTCTGGGACTAAACCTCCTGAGAATGTGTTCTTCATGAAACAGAAGATTGGAAATGCATGCGGTACCTTCGCGTTGTTCCATTCCCTGGCCAATTTGGAAGGAATCATAGATTTAGGTTTGAATGCTACAGTTCGCTAGTGGGAAATAGTGCTGCTCGTGATTTTAGGTAACGGATCTTTCTCGAATTGGCTTCAAGAGGCTAAAGGATTGTCTACAGAGGAACGGTCTGACTCCCTTCTCAGAAGTAAGTCAGAAAATCTCACAATATTTTTGAGAGGGAAACGTTTACCGATAGGCTTGACCGTCGACCATGTGGCACGGGTTATAGTATGTCGATGCGTAACTTATGGCAGCTGTCCGCGTGGGCGGAGCCTACCATAACATCCTCTGTCCATTGTCCATGATTGTCCAACATTTTTTGTGGATGAATAGACGTGCTATCTTCTAATGTTATGCTCGCGTCCCTCTTGTACATTACTCTCTTACAGGCTCTTCTGTTGCAGACAATCAGCTGGCTACAGCTCATGACGAGACCGCACAAGAAGGTGAAACGGAGGAGCCAGCCAACGTTGACCACCATTTCATTTGCTACGTTGCGAAGGATGGAGAACTATATGAAATTGGTAATCTCTAATTACATTCCTCTGTTCTTTACAGTTAATTCAATTCCAGATTCGTGCGCGCCATTCCCGCGTTCGCTGGGTAAAATCTCTGAAGGTTCACTTTTGAGTGCCGCTGGTCAGCACGTCAAAAAATTAATGGAAGAGATTGGGGATGTCTCAATTTCTGCCATGGCATTGGTGAAAAGTGCTTGAGTGTTTTCTTTGCCATGTCGTGTCATACCTCAGCCACTTTGTGGGATTTCGTGTATTGCCTTTCAGACTCTGATAAATTTCACTTTTGCCCATAAAACTATGATACCTTTACGACTTTGTTTGACGATTTGGTAGCCCCAAAAGTATCTGTTACGGATTTCGTTGTTATAGTGGAAATTTCCTCGAAATGAGTTTAGCAAAACAGAGATGGACATGGACTATCTCAGCGCCTTTATGGCTAAATGGACATCATCAAGATGTAGGTTGAGGTCCTTACTATAAAAATGTGCAGAGGACTTGTTTTTATGTAAATAATTGAAATAATTTTTGAAAGCTTTCAAAAATACAAATTAGCCTTGTAAAAAAATTTTTTTCGGGGGCGTGGCTGCCGCCACCCCCCCCCCTTCCCCTTTTCTGAAATTTTGGGGTCAGGGGTTCGGAAAAATTTTGAGAAGCATCCCAAAAATTTTTTTCGGAGTGCGTGGCTAACGCCACGCACCTTCATCGAAAAGTTTTTTTTGTCGCCCCCCCCCCCCTTTGTCCCCCCCCCCCCCCCAAGCGGAAATTCTGGGTACGCCACTGGCGTATATATATATTCTGTGAGCTTGTCGTAGAAGTCGATGTGCTTGAGTTGTACGGCTATGGAGCTTACTGCGATTTTCTATCAGTAATCTTAGGATTTCCATCTTATCGACGCTCGGCGTAATCACTAGATGATCTGAATTTGATACGGTTATGGAGAACAGAGGTTCGACGTTATTCATGCTCAACAATTATTCATCACATTCTTAGCAAAGTACTCAAAATTTGAGGGTTAAACTGGAGCAATGTGATAAAATGCTTGCTCAGTTTAACTCGGTCACATCTTTGTGCAGAGCACTGATGTGCACTGAGCAGGAGGTGGTGGAAAAGGTAAGATTGAGAGAAGCGTAGGCCTACAATAAATGCGCGGAATTGCATGAACAGGTGCAAGACTCACAATTACAGGGCAAAGCCCATAGCAATCTTCACTACGAATCAGTCCTTCACTTTGAAGGAGAAGGGATACAGAATGTAAAGCATACAACATAAAAAGCAAGTACGAAGGGTTTACAAACATGGAAGAGACTATATGTTGCTAATACAGGACTAAGTGCAGACCTCAAACACTACTGTGCCAGTCCCGACCCGGCATTGCTCCTTGCGTATGCCGAGGCTAAACGCAAGCAAAGGCGGTCAACTCAGATGGGCACAGGTGTGCGAACAGTCAGTTGATAACTAAGAGGTAGCTTCGATGTTGAGTTTACCTTGATGGATTTCGTGCTAAAATACGGTACCCGATGTCAAATCGTATCATCATGGACCAGCAGAGTTCAAGCAATTTTCGAAAGGCTTTGGTCGAGTATCCAATCAGACATTGGGACGATCGTGGCTTATAACAACTTTCTGAAAACTTTTGGGGAAGAAGCCCAAATCTATATGCGCTGCCGCGTTGTATGGAAGGGCGTTCTTTGAAAAACGTGATCCAGGCTACGAGAGAGAGGTCATCCGATGGGGGTAACACGTCTCCCTCCTGTGAAAGCCCTGGCAGTCTTCACGCGTAAAGGATACCGAGTCGCACTGCGTTTATCAAAAAGGTGTACATCACTGAGGTCCCTTTGGGACACTAACATATCTGCTTTCTAAATCTGCGAAGCGGTTCTGTGAAAGAAGTTAGGTTGATGAAGTTTTTTTCTAAGTGTATGGCTTGTGTGTGGTGCTGCGACAATCCCCAGATTCTAAGCCTTTCAAACTCTTCTGTGCTAAGGCGACACGGCGCCAAGGTGGGGGATGGGAGGTGTTGTGCAGATAACAATTCGTGCCACAAGTAAAATCCTGTGAGTTAGCGGCAGCGATTTTACACTGCTTGCATCTTGCGCTCATTGTCCCCTTCCATTTGCCTCGCGAAAATTTGAGATGTCGGTTCTTCGTCCTTTTGAAGTGTTGCTGAATCTCATCTTTGCTTGGAAACCACAAGCGCGCCAAAAGTAAAGATCAAAATTACTTGAAGAGTGCCACAACAAAAGCAGCGTGAAATATGTTTTTAATCTCATGTCTCAGAACCCTGTAAGCGTACTCTACGGGAATCACATCTCGTCTGTGTCGGAGATGTGAGGCTGGAGGAAAGAATATCTGTGAAGTAAAAAGAAATCGCAACTCATGCACAATCATAACCAGCATTTTCGTTTCAAATTCTTTCGAACTTCCACTTTTTAGCTTTCTATCATTAGAGGATGACTCTTTTTTATTACTTCATCTCAAAAGAAGCGGTTTTAAAAGCATACAAAATGGACAAATCAGACAACAAACAAGCTTCTTCTGCGTTTTGCGTGCAACACATAAAATGTGTTTTGAGTTATTTATGAAAAAGAAGACGCGCATTTGAACTTTTCAACTGAGTTGCGATGGTATGAATCGAAGAAAAAGTTAAGCTTGACCTGGCTGAGTTGGTTTTAGATTCATTTGACATTTAGAAATACGCGGTGCTACTGGTTTTGACATACTTGTAGAATTAAAAAAAATGTTTGAGAAAGTTGTTATGTTGAAGGCAGCGTCCAGGCAAGTCTGGACCTATGGGGATTTTACGTGGAAAGTACTTTTGGGACCCTAACTAAGCCACTGCCCAAACGGCAGCTTAGGTAATGCCCTAACGGCTGAGATATTCCCCTCGAAACTCGACCGTGTTTCGCATGGATTCATGGCGCAAAGCGTGGATCCTGGCGCGAAACTGCCATGAATCCATGCGAGTACGTTCGCAGGGGCCAGTTTCGAGGGGAATATCTCAGCCATTAGAGAACTACCTGAGCTGCTGCTTGGGCAGCAGCTCAGGTAGTTCTCTAGTGGCTGAAATATTCCCCTCGAAACTGGCCCCCGCGAACGTACAGTAATCGAAACAGGTAGTTCTCTAATGGCTGAAATATTTCCCTCGAAACCTTAGTTAGGGCCCCAAAAGTACTTTCCACGTAAAAGCCCCATAGGTCCAGATAATTGTCCAGAGATCACATATTTGCATGACTTGGAGTAGTAGTCGTCCTGCCTGGTCGCTGCCTTTGAGGTAGTACGACTACTCCAAGTCATGCAAATATGTGGAAATGCCTTCTTGGCTTTAGTGTTGAAACTGGTTATAGTGTATCATGAATTCTCGGGAAGCCTGGCATTCCCTAAACAGGTCTTGCAGTGCACATTACAGTCAATTTTCCTTCATTGGTGTTGCCAGTAGTGACCATAGAAGCTACATGAAGGTTTCGTTTCTATCCCAACTCTTGTTGTATCTCTTCTTCTGCATTTTATTTCCTCTTACTGAAAAAAAGTCGATTGTCACGTCTAACTGCCTATCGATGCATGAAGCAATTCAGTCTCTGGAGAAGATTTCGCTGATAAACAAGCAATTTTTTGTGAATGATTTTTGTTCAAGGGGACTAGAATGCAAGCCAGCAGTAAGCCTCAACTATGGAAAGTGTTGGAAGCTTTTTCGTAGAAGACTGAGGTCGTTTGATTTTTTTTTCTTGCAAAAAGAGAAGTTTTTCGAATAGTGTGCATCGAAGGTAACTCCAGTGGGCTCCTTTGAGGTGTAGTCTCACCGTGGAAACACTATTTTGTTTTCATATTTCATTGATATTCTTGTCAGTAGAACTGAGTTCCACAGTTCATCCTCGATTCCTGATTTCCATTTCTGAGGGGCTTCTTCAGAATCATAATTTTTCGATGGAAATGGGCACTGTTCTTCTTCCGCTTGAATGCAAGTTATACGATCACGAATAGGTCACATGCCGATATCAATGTCCAGTTTAAGGACTTATTCTGCATTCCACAAGTGTTGGAAAAAGTGAAAGCGAGAAGTTTTTATACGAACATAGACTAAAGCATCTGAGCACCATATTCGTCTTACCGTGGCAGGATTCTAGCTGGCTTAATCTCAGGCTCAACGGCATAACAACTTTTATCACCACTGTAACTTATATGGTAGCTTCCACTTTTTGAGAAGAAGGCTATTTTTGAATGCAGTGAGAGTTGCAGTCAGTATCGGATGAAGTAACTTACACATTGACCCTAAACGATGGAACTCTAGTGACCCGGAGTTTTGCGCTTCCTCAAAGTTTTTAAGTTAGTGATCAGTAAAAAAAACAATGCATGGTCCTCAAATCTCTGGACTGAATATAACCTTCATATTCCTTCGCTTACGAGTTCTGATAATGGCAACTTTTTGAGTCTAAAAAATCCCAAAGGGAAGTAATAGTAGCGATTTTGGGGTAGAGACGAGCCTAACAGTGGTTTGCAGTTATGAGTTTGACAAAAGAGAGGATTTGTCGGTGATTATTGATATACTTTTTTTTCCGCACGCCTTCATGCATCTCTTTTAATGCAGTCTAGCCATTTTTGATCAAGCTATCTAGTTCAAAAAGCTTCTGGATGTCATTCACCAGAATGTTAATGTTAATCAATGTATTACAGATTCTTCTTGTGAGCGACATAATGAAGTTTGTTAATCGTATGAAAATAATATCGTTCTTTGCTTCCGCATTGTGAATCACTTCTCACTTCTAAGTGATACTGGGGCATAGTACGCGAAATTTCGGAGAATGCTTACATAGTGTCATTGACAGTTTCGACGATACCGATCGGGTATGCGCATAGATCGGAGGCCTTAGTCATATGGTTTTTTCATGCCAGAGATAACATACTCAGTTGCGATTTTAGTTAGGAAGATACCACACCCATTGCTTACCCAAAGGACTGTTGCGTTGGTATGCGATAATGACTGTATGCCACCCAATACAATTTGAACGCGGGAGTGAGTTTCGAAAGTCTGCTTTGATAGGGATAACGCTTGCTTTATTATAATAGCAATCTATCGAAGGGCGGTAGAGTTTACGCTAGTCGGGAATAGGAAAAAACTGCTAAGATGACATCATCCTGCAATTGGTGGGTGTGAAAATGGGTCACTAAAGCTTCTAAACTTGCGCATGAGAATGGAATAGATAAATATTATCTCCAAAAGCTTGCTTGTAGAGCAATCTACATTAACAACAAGCTTTGACCAGCAACCCTCTCTTTTCAAGTTTCTGGGTTACGAGCTCGCCAAAAAAATGGCAAGCATTTCAAAACAGTTTTTGTAGGGCTTTAGTTTTCCTTTCCTTTATTCGCTAAGGATTTTTCTAGGACCGCTGCCAGCTCATTTTATTCGTGTTAAATTTTGATAGAGTTTGCGGTTTTAAGTTGCGCGTTCTAAAAATGCTCCCCGGGTAATTCATCTAGCACTTGTTATTCTTGTAAACTTTCAGTCCTCCTTCCCCCCCCCCCCCTCTCCCCAACCATCCCTCAAAATATATTTAAACTAGTTTGGCAGCAAAAAAGTTACCGGTTTTTGTGTCTATCTTAGTCATCACCCTTAAGACTGATATTTGAAGTTTTATTTTTTGCTCTCATTACCATCGACCGGCCATTCGAGATCCCCCATTCTCCACCTGCATTCTATCTCGTTACCCCTCCATATTACATGTGTCTCAAATCTTTGGACTCCAGGCATTCGTGTAATAAATTTTCACAGCTTCATTTCCTGTTTTGCGATCAATCGTCTTCAGGTTTGCCATGTGAGGCGCAAATATTGTGTAAATATTCAGGTTCTAGGGGTTGATTGGCACATGGGCAGAATTTATGTGTTTATTAATATTTGGAAATGGTATATTGGACGAGATTTCCAGTGTCTTTTGTCGAATACAGCAACTGAGGCTAATTTGGAGTTTATAGACCAGTTGCCCTTACTATGTCATGTTCCTGCGTCTAATGACTACTTAATGTTTTATGTTGAACCGTTCCGTCTTTTCCACGAAAACAAACATTACCTTGTCAAGAAAACATCCTTTTATGGTTTTGCAGCAAAACAACAAAGTAAGGAAGTGCGTTTGCTTCGATCATGATGCATATAGGTTTGAATTACCACACTCTCACGCAAACATATTTCGAATTTTTCGGCAACGAATACAATTCAAAAAAATTTGAAGTACTTACAAATGTGTGTCTCTCAACACATCGAGATTTCCAAAAAAAGTTTCTGTCGTACAGCGTAGACCAAGTGAAAATCAAGTGCAAATGATGATGATGACCTTTACTTTTGCGACGATACTAGTTTGCTAAGTTCAATGTTTCCTTGTTTTGATGGAGATATTGGTGTCAAAAAAGAAAAGGTTTGAACAGCTTAGATAGAGCTCAATGGAATGGAGTGGACTGAAGATTGGAAGAGCTTTGTGTCCTACAAGCCTCAGATCAAGATTTTATATCAAACAATAACAACAGATCAAGATTTTATATCAAACAATAACAACATTTTCTGAGTCTTTTACACTTTGCTCCATCTTGTGTATACCTTCTACACTTCTAGTTCTGTTAACATTAGGCTATGAAATATGGTAAGAGTATATCTCTATTTATAGTTGACTGCACAGAATCGCTCGGACTGAACTCGCGCGAGCGCGTCTCTTGGGACTAACATTGGCATTTGCGCGCATGAGTCATTATAGCGCCCGTACTCGGCAGCCGCATTGCAGGCACGCTCGCGTGCATTCAACCTATAGCGACCCAGGCCTATTTCGTGCAGTCGACTTTATCTGTATGGTTTTGAAAGTGCTACCTTATATTTTTTTTGAGATTTTAGCAGAACTCTGAGGAAGTTTCGCAAGCTTCTAATTTCCTTTCCTCTGTTGATAACAAGTCAGGAGTCCTGAAAAAATTATAACTGTAGCCGCAAGTAAGCCATTTGATGGATTCTTACAGTCCATTTCTTTATTTCTTTTTCAGTAGCTGGGGGCAACCATCTACATTTCTTTCCAAAGTCAAATAATGGTGAATCATCTTTCAATTCAAACCATGGGAAATATCTGACTCAGCGCTTTTGTTCCAGTTTCGATTCAACACCGAAGATGTAGCTATTATAATATGATGCCCCAAAAAGTGTGCAAACTATGTGATTGTTAATATCCCCTTTTTCAGTTTTTCGCTGATCTTTGGGTAGCATTCTGTAGAGCTGGCTTCAACTTAGGTTTACAATGAACAAATCACTAATCTTTGTTTGTTACATATCGTTCGTTCTCTGACTAAGAGACGCGAGCACGCTTTGCGTACGTTTGATCAGCAAGTTCATCAGTGGGTTTTAACGCGTTTCGCGTTTTGGTCAATCATTATCAGGAATTCGTGAAAGAGCGTGTTCAACCAGCGTGGTTCAACGAGCTCAAACATGTTCTCCTACGAATTCTAATATGTAGTAAATCCAAAACGCGTTAAAACTCATTCATGAACTTGTTAATGAAATGTACGCAAAGCGTGCTCTTTCCTAGTCAGCGAATGAATGATAGGAACGAGAGGTTTTTAAGCATTGGGGGCCATATTATGCTTCAGAGAAGGCAAGCTAAAAAGTTAGTGTTTCTTAGTGTTTCTCAAAAATGTGGACACCATTCAAAAACTCGAAAAACTTTTAAGAAGTTGAGTGGATAATATAATCAGCTCGCGTGAATGCCTCGCCGCATAAGCTCTAAGATTTACCGGGAAGTTTTCTGAGGTCAAACTTGAAATGGCGCTGTATGCAGGACCTACCGTAATCTTACAGTAATGAAAAAAAATTGGTGAGTCGCCAGATACTGTAAATCTAAGTTGAAGCCAGCTCTACGGAATAGTACTAGAGATAAAAAAAAACTTTATTTGGAGAGAGTATTAACGATCGAACAGTGTAAACACGCTTTTGGAACTACCTTTATTTATGCTGACTTACGATGACCGTATAAAGTCTCTTGTAGGTGAACACCTACGCTTGGAAAGTCTTGAGATTCCCCAGTAGAAATCATAATAGTTTTAATATCAACCAAGAAGAACTTTCTTCTAATTGTCTGGTATGTGTAGTGATGCGTGTCATTACTAATTTGTACTTTAAATGTCATATCATCACACATTGACCTAATATTGACACACTTGTGTGACTACTTCAAAGTTAGGGTAATCCTATTTCCATGATGCGACTTAGGACATTCTTTTGCGTTACAGTAAACTAGGATGTGGGTGCGGTACTTCAAAAAAAAAAAAAGATCTTTGCGTACATCTCGAAGTCTCCAGATGCTCTCGAATTGCTTTCTTGCGCCGAGGAGGAATCATGTTAGGTGATAAATCTTTTCGTGACGGTTCTTCACGAGATCTTACCTTTTGCGCACGTGATTTCTGTACGGACGTCCGTACACGTGCACTTTTCCCTATCCCTTCTTGTTTTGTACGCAGCGGCACGAAAAGTGCGTGTTCGTAAATAGTTACATAAAGAAAGGAATGTTGATAGATACGGTATCATTGAGAAGAATCTTTTTTTTACATTTTTATAGTTATCATCCATCAAGATGGCTTAGGAATGCTTTGCGTACGTGTGTTTGACAAGTTTGAATCTGTTTTCGTTCAAACTCCAAATGGTTCATCCAGGTTGAGGTAGATCACGAGTATAAACTTGTCAACACTCATGCAAAGCGTTCGCGATTATCCTAGTCTCAAAATGAATATGATTTGTACAGATGGCTGGTAAGTGTGTGATTGCACCATTCATGCCATATGCTACGTTAGTGAGCGTACATTTTACTTTTGTTTTCTTTTGCGTCGATAGATAAAATTTCATCTGAAGACCAGTATTTACTTGTCTGTTTTCATAGGCAGGGCCAGATATATCCGTTTAGCCGCTTCTTGATTGGTCATTTTACTGATTTGACCAATGATGAAGCGCCTTAGCGGATAATAAGATGAAAAGAAAAAATAAGTTTATAAATATTCTCCTCTTTCCTTTGACGGAGTTTTGAAATTCTGGGCTCTTCCGGGACTCCAGTAAGGAGAAAGGGCCTAGAATTTTTTTTCAAAATTTTTTTGGAAAGGTAGTGAGACTTTTTACCCTCAGGAATTTTCTTCTTTGAACGGACGATCCGCGACATGTCTGGTGCCTGCTGTAAGGTACAGCAGTTTGTTGTGCAATTGCACACTGCGCTAGCGAAATCAACTAAAGTCAAACTTCTTCGTTTTATGGCTAACCAGAAATCATCCCTTCTTAGCAAAGCATCAAAATTGAATGCAAAATTGCAAAAAAAAAGCGTTGTTTGTCTTTTGATCATTGGTTGGGTGTGGAGTGTCTGTAATCACACCAAGTGCGTAGGTAAGAGGCGTGGCTTTGCGTACGCTGGTATAAAGTCACATACATGCACTGGCAACCATATCGTCCCACGACTGCTAGCGAAGCAGAACCCGTTTGTTTCCCTTGCAGCCGCCCCAGCTGTTGTTGACCCCTTATCGGGTCTAGTTGTTGGTCCCTGCACTGTTTGAACCTCATGCGGGGGGGGGGGGGGGGGGAGGGGTACGCAGTTTTGCACATTTCGTATTTGATTTCTGAATCCGCACTGTACCCATCAGGTTTCTCTATTTCCATCTTATCTTATGATTTGTGTACCGCAGTGACGTCAATTCTGCTAATGACGTAAATTCGAACTCATGAGTAACAAAGACATGAGCTTACTATGAGTTATGAGAGCGTATCATTGTCCCGAAATAATTGTTGATTTATGGCCTTGAGTCATGCATACTTCTAGCTCCGCCCACTTTTTTCCTGTATAAAATAAAGAAAGTTTATACTGGAGCGAGCTTTCATATTAGGTAAATAATAATATGCATTGTGATAGCTAATTCATTCGCTTGTTAATGTTCTCTTATTGATTTCCCCCTTTCATTCCATCTTCTCCCTTTCCATTACCAACCACCTTCTACAAAATCCTCTCCCTGTTTTTTTTCTCGTTTTTTTTCGAATAATCGCTCAGTTACATCCCATAATGCTTTCTTCCCAGATGAAACTAATGAATTCGCTAACGAACATGTTTGGCGAATTTGTCGCTACCCAGAAATCACCAGAATTCAATCTAAGCTCTGCTTCCATGCAAGAATTGAACAAAGCCGTGAAAGAAGAGAAGAAATGCTATGCAAAGGTAAGGGCTATATCTCATCTAAATACAGTTTAGATGAAAAATGGGAGTATGTAGTAATCGAGGTAAAAAAATTTTTTTTGGAAGTTTGGGCGTAGTCCCAGCGATCTCTGGCGTTACTTGAACATAACAATGAAATATATCATAATGTGTTAGGCTTGATGGGTTTGATGGATGTTCTCCCTGCAAAAATTTTGTTTTTTTGTATCTCTCTATTATCCAGCAAAGTGGAGGATAGCAGCGGTTTACTTAGGAAGAGAAAGAAATTTTTCGAAGATTTCAAAAAGTTTTCCGTTTCAGATTGTCCATCTCCGGCCGAGACCTCGTTGTATGTCTACTGGCAACATTTATCAAGAAGTAAGCCGAAACCCAAGTGGTGGTAGTGAAGTAACAATGCGCGAACATAATTGCAAGAGAAGAGAACGTCCAACTAGCCTTATTGAACGAGTCAGACAAAGAATTAGCCCTGATCGAAGAGATGAGGTTTGTTTCCCTTTTTGCTATCTCTTCTTTGATTTTGTGAAAATTCCACGTGTGTGAAATTTCCTGTTTCAGTCAATTGCCGAGGAAGAAGAGGGAGAGGGTCAAGTGGTACGAAAGACATCTACCGTATCCGAGAGACTGCACATTATCGTATCTTGAAGTACCGTACCGTAATCCTCCAGTTGAAGAGCTGTTCATAGGCAGCGTCAGTGGACTATTCATCCTGACACGCTTTAATTAACCAATGGATCCATACAGGACCAAATTTCATGAAAGTCAATACATAATGTTCTGACTAAAATAGGGAAAAAAGTGCACAATGATTTTTTTTGAATCGTAGTTCTGCTGATGCACTTACCTTGTTCCATAGTTTCGAAGATATTGTTATGTTGATTTTGTTATATGCAGTGAAAAAAAGAATGTCATCTCTTTTTTGCCGATTTTTCTACGAATTTACTATTTCTGACCTTTTACCCACTTCAGAAAAACGGCATGAACTAGATTTACTTCTGCGATTTATTTTAATCCTTTGTCCGATCATGTGTCTATAATATATGTATGTACGGTGTTTTCTCAGGCACTAGATGATGAATTGCCATGTTTTTATTGCTTTTTTGATCTCGGAATAAATTTGAACTGGTAATTTGGTATAGTCTTATAAACTGTTTATTTAACATAATTTACCTTCGAGTTTGGTACGGTTACATCAAGATCTTGTTGTTGGCTTCTGTGAACACTTTTTCCCGATAATAAGGTGCTATCAGTTCACAGTCTATCATTCAAATTTTTTTCAAACTGACTGAAAAAAAGGAAGGGTAGAGCTAAATCAAAAGAGCACGGGGGGGCGGAGGAGGGAGGGAGGAGCAGAAGATGGTAGCCTAGAAATCTGATTTCGAATGCTTTTACCGTGCTTCCTTCAATCCACATTTTTCGCCATTTTCAAATTCAACATTTTCAGTGTTCTCACTTGGTCATACGAAATCCTCGTAGTCTTGTGTTCATCACTGTGGCAATTCTAAATGTCAGAACAATTAAATCGATCATCGATCTCAAGTGCACTGTCGCATGATACTGTATCTCAAGTTCAGGCCATCTCAAATGTTGTGACAAATACGTCCTTCGATGGAAAAAAAAGAAGGTGGGGGAGGGGGGGGGGGGGGAGAGGGGGAAGGAAAAAAGGGGTGTCAAAGACGGTTGACGCCTTGAATAATACAATGAAATAAAAGATGGTTCGCTAGTATTTAGCTCCACATTTTCGACTACAAAGAAAAAAGAAGGAAAGAGACGAGAATTTGGTAGCTGTACATTTGGGAAAATTTCTTGACAAGCTAATGAGGTTGAATAGGACATGGATTAGGCTGGAAGTGGAAGTGCTTTCCAGGGCTCGGCACAAGTGGCTTGTGTGCAAGCTGGATATCGTTTTAGTACAAAAAGTAAAGGGAATATCGTTCTGTGGCCGAAAAATTACGTTTCTTTAGTCGACGTTTCGTTTTTTGGATTTTTACCTTTATAGTTTAGGGTCAGAGGGAACTTCGTAAAATTTAGGAAAAATTTAGAGGGACTTCGTTTTTTGCATTCTCGGGAGGCCACCTCGTGCCGTGCCGTGTCCCCTCCACTTAATTTCGTTTCACCCTCAAAAATGGGCGAGAAGCAGGGTTCTTTATCAAACTTCTTCATATTGAAGAGCTCTAGGAGGTTGAATCGCCAAAACCGGGAACTGGTTTTCTCATAAGAATGTATGGTTGGTATTTTGCTTGAAAAAAGGAAAAAACCTGTTTCACTTCCTAAGAAAAGGAAAAATTGTTTGGAATTGGTCTTCGTTGCTGGATGCTGAGCAACTTCTTTACTTTACCCTTTATATCAATGTATAGGCTGTTCTCATCTCGCTTACTCTTTCTCGAGTAGAAACCCTTGGCTACATTGAGGAAAAAGCGCTTGGTTTTTTTTAGGGGTCTTCGCTAGATTCAAGTGAACTTTGCGACTAACATAAGATAAGTTTGCCAACGAAGCAGAATCATCCCTTGTGCATGGATGACTTTGACCCACTGGTGCAACAAAATCTAGCATAATATACAAAATTTTGCATCGTTTAGAATAGGTTCATAGGTTCTCAAGAGTTTGATTACACGCATTGGCCTTATTCTTTGATACCTTGTCTGGAGTGAGTGCCGAGTAACTTTGAGATCTTCCTTGAAGAAAGAGTGGATAAATGCTTGGAAAATAAATTGTTTTTTTTAATTCTGAGCATAAAATCTATATCTATAGTTTTTTTTCTTAACCAACATAATGCAGAGGTGTACTCCGACTTACTCCAAATAACTATATAGCTAACATTGAGTTGTAAAGTTTTCGATACAGCTTCATAGACGCATTTCAACAACAGGTTCTTGTTGTAATCTTTTTCACCAATACAGTTGAATGTTGTTGTTACTATTCAGATTGACACACTGCCGAGTGAAATATGCGATTGTCAGTTGTTACAGGTATCTGCAGTAATTACACTTCTATTTCTGCGGAGGTTATCTGCAAACTGAAGTTCGTTTGCAAGTTGTGCTTGTAGGCGTTGTGGGCGTTTGAATGCGCAAAGGGAACATCTGCCTCCTTCTATCTTTGAGGGGTAGAAGTCACTGTGGGATGGCTTGAAAGACATGCAGAGATAGTGAAAGGTGAATGCCTCCCAAGTTGGCGGGGATTCACAAAAAAGGATAACGAGTTGCCTGACGTTCAGCCTAGAGATGTAAATCAATGAGGTTCCTTCGGAAGACAGATAACATGTCTGCTCCCCAAATCTCAAATCGGTCTTGTGAATGAAGTTACGGGCGCCAGGCTCGGTTCGCTCTGTCTACAGTCGAATCGAGTACGAGTAATGATGCACTATGAATACAGTTTTTGGTAGCGCAGTGTGGAAAGTTTCAGTCATAAGATGCTTGATCAAACCAGGGCCCGGCGGGGGTGGCGCTTTCACAAGCTGGATATCGTTTTTGGCCCGAAAAAGCAAAGGGGGCGGAGCCTCGGACCCCAAAATGCGACTTCCCCTTTGTTTACCGATAAACAATGCATATATCATTCTTTATTCGTCATTCCTTGTTGATGCTACTGTCCTATGAACTTAGATTCCAGCAGTGTGGAGATTCTGTGCTCCGATCGCTAGCCTGCCCGCAGGCGGGAATTTAAATCGCAATTCTTGTAAGAGGAAAATAACAAATTAGGCTCGTTTTCAATGCACAAGTAACGATATGGCACCAAATTTGCTGTATAGTTGGAGGACCATGAGCACAAAAAAGTATGAAGAATTATGAGAAACTATGCGAATTTGAAAAATGGTGTTTTTCGAAATTAGGTGGCTCCCGCGCAACCTGGGAGCAACCTGGGGTGGTTCCCTGCTTCCCTTCACATAATTTCTCGGATTTCTTTACATAAATGTGGACTAGGTCGAGATTACTATATGTTCAAATCCGCTTCCAAAACCACCAAGGCAGCGCTTCGATACAGCCCCAAATAGGGTTCACAGCGTTATGATCGGCCTCGGAAAGCGCGCTCCACTCGCAATCGGTCATTGTAGATTGTAAAGTTTCGCAGCTGACTAATAAATGAGTTGTATCTTAGATGTATAAACGTCAAAGTTTGTGCAAATCTTGACCCTATGTTTTTTATAGATTCCTTTGCGGATGAACCTATTGAGCTGAAACCTTGAAAACATATGTTTTCGGCCTCGGTAGATGGTTTTAAGCTACCCTTCGAAGCAATTCGTGGAATTCTTCTGTCGATTTAATGATTTGTGGCACCTTGCAAGGAAAGTGAACACTTACCAGCCGCTAACAAACTGCTTGCACATTTTGGTGTGAACAATGCAGTGAAGTTCATTTCCACTTTGAAATTATTATAGAAGGTGCAGTCACTCCAATAAGCCTTTTTGGGGTAAGCTCGTGCAGGAGAATAAGGGGGAGGGCTGCAGTGCAGTATTGACAGGGCCCGGCACGAGGTCGGCAAATGACAAGCTGGAAATCTTTTTGGGGCCAAAAAGCAAAGAGGAAATCGTTTTTGCGAAGTCCGGGGCGGAGCCCCGGAAAAAATTGGTAGTTCATGCTCGCTAGTTATCTTGACATGTTATGTGCAGGGTAAAGCGGGGGGTGCGGCACGCCGCAAGGGGGGGTCGTAAGGGGGGGGGATACGTAGGGGGGTCGTATCGACCCAAGGTCAAAAGCGGTTTCTAAGGGGAAATGACTGCAGCTAAGTTCTTAGATGTGCCACGCTGTTGAAATCCTGCAAAATTCAAGTTCAACGACACAAACTTGCAGATACCGTATGCCTACCGTAACCTACCGTACCTCTAATCAAGCATAATTGTCGTAATCCGCGTGTCGAATAACCCCTATGCGCCAAGTTTCAGCGAACTCTGAGGTCTCCGAGCAGTAAACAACCTTGTATAAAGCAGTAATTTAAAACATGATTAACTTCATCTTAACGGTGAGTAAGCTACCTCTTCTTGCACTCAATACAAAGCACTACTCCTTCTTTGTCCACCTCAGGAATCCCGCTTCAGAAGAACTCCAAACTATTGAATTAAAAGCCAACCAAAATCGCTTTTAGCTTTTGATCGCTGTGCTTTCACCAAATATTACTCAGAGCTAAGAAGACGAATCAGGCTCAAAACATCCCTATGGAATCTACGAGGTTTAGGCTATTGATTCATATAAATATTGTCCGCTAAAAATGTTTTTTTGATATAGTTAATGGCCTGCGGCACCCCCCCTCAAAACCTGCGGCTGCCGCAGGTTTTGAGGGGGGGGGGGGTGCCGCAGGCCATTAACTTACCTTCAAAACGTTCAAACAGCTGCCTTTTTCATGTCAACCTATAGATCCATCCTTCCTCTCTCCGTAGTAGCTGTTTCCCCTCGAAGCGTTTTCTTTAGAAGGAGATACACATGGTTTTTGCGAACCATATGCTGGGAAGTGTGGCCAAAAAATATTGGGTTACGGTAGTGCTCGAAAATTGTCAAAACACAAAGCCGCGAGATGCGAGTCTTTGAAATCTGCGAGCTAAAATCTCTCTTGTGATGCGCAGTTTTTCGGGCTTCTCTCTTTTTTTCTCGCTTTTCTCTCTCGTTTGTCCGGAATGTAAGCAGTCGTTTGTCAACTCAGCTCGACTGGAGCGACATCTGCCTGTTCATCAAGTGTGATTTTCTTTGTTTTGATTCTAAAGGGTTACGTGTAGCCATTCCTTACAGCTATCTGGAGATTATCTATGTCCATTGTGTGGAAAGACGTACAAGTATGAATACAATCTCTTTTTCCGCTGGCGCAGAACATGTCAATACCTCAATGAACTCGTGAGAGTGGAGGAGCAAAAGGTACTACATAGCTTTTTTCCAGTTTACTTTTTTGTTCAGCAAGTTTTTTCCGCATAAGCACTATCCATGCATACGTTTTACGTATTTTTGTTACCTATCGCCTTCATTTGTCTCAAATTATCTTTGTTTTTTATCTTGACTGGACCGTATTCAAGATTTTCCTCAGGTTAAAACGATAAATCATTTAGCAGTTGCATTTCTCGAGTTCGTGAAAGTGGTACATGTGTTACATGTGTTGATCAAATTGCAATTGTTGGAGATCACGTTGATCATATGGCAAGTTTTTTTTTTCAATTAATGCTAGTGTCATTCAATTGTTCACTTAGCTATCCATGTATTCCATAATTTTTTTGCAAAGTAGTTAGACAACAGTTAGCACAGCATCTTCGTTGTATCAGTTGATTGTCGGCATTTTCCTCATTGGTAAGCTATAAAGGGGCAATCGGCGACGATTTTTCAAGTTTTTCTGACACGTGTTGGCCCACAAGAAATGAATACCTCAAATGTTTTGATTTCAATGTTATCACGCCATTTTTTCTCCGTTGCAACCGTTAAGCTATCCGTATTTTCTGCAGCGTAAGTGTTTAGGTTGCTGCTCTTTGTGCATTTGCCAATAATTCTGGATCTTCTTTGGTACAACGCAGTCTGCTAGATTTTCTGTATGCAGCTTTTCCCTTGGATAGTGGTAATCTCATCTCACCAATGAAGACTTTGTACAGGTAAATTTTCTTTATTTCTTTTTATTTTATTTTTCTTTATAACCTCAATCAAGACTGACTTACGGCACCAACGAAATCATGTTGCTGTTGTTGATGAGATGTATGTTTCTTGTACTTCGACATCAATAAAGACTTCACTATCGATTTCCTATGTGAGCACAAATTCATTTGAGTACCTGCAGGGTTCATAAGCCATGTAACAGGCGGCGATTCAGAGACTTTCTCTGCATGATTTTGTGCTCACATAGGAGATCGGTAGTGAAGACTTTATTGGTTTCGAATTTCACAGGAGGCAGTATAGTAATCAGCAGCATTCCTATTGACGATGAAGGTGTCAAGTCGATATTTTTCAACGAGCATGCTCTCCCTCTCATTGTAAATTCTATGATTGAATATCTGAAACATGACGTTGTCGCGATACCTCAACTGTCAACAAATGCTTGAGGATATGGCTGAGTTGACAAAATGGTGCTGCTCAGATTTGTTATATTTCTGCGTGCTTGATTTTTGGAGCCATCTCTTTCTTATCACCTTGTGGCTATATCATCTTTGTTTAGGAAGGCGAACAGCACCGGTTTGCTGAAGTCCGAGTATGTCGTCTGCTATTGTACTTACAAGATCGAGCAGATATTGGAGTACCTATTTTGACTAGAGTGTTTGCATCGTTCCTGATACGGGTTGCGGACATCTACAAATCACTGACGCAGGGACATAGTGAGGTGGAAGAAGTGAGAGCTTTTAAATATCCATTAATTGAGTAATAACTGCGATTTCTTACATTGATCAACGCTCATGCATATGAACTCATCTTGCAGGTTACTCAAGAGATCAATCTTGATCGCAACAGTATGCGTTTGCCTCTCGACTTGAAAAAAAGAAAGTCCATCCACTTCCCGCATAGGAACAACAGACTCCATAGTCGAGAACGAAAAAGAGTAATTTTTGCTAATATCTAGCTCTTTTTTCGTCACTTTATTGTTGGGTTCATGTATGATTATACTCATCCCTTCGTTTTTCGGGAGCGGCGCATCGGAGAGATAAAAGAAGGCGTTCAGTCTACTGGTCAGTTCGTTCAAACCAGGCTTTCTATTTGATTATCTGAGCAAATGGTTTGCAAGCCTCATTCAAATGGAGAAGCCGTCTTCAGAGAAAATTGTACAGTTGAAGTGTTAATCTTCATTCATTTTTTTTTTGAAAGAAAGTTGATAGAGTTGAAATAAAGCATTTACTGATCGGCTCAAGCGTTCCTCAATTTGAAAGAGTTTGGGGAAGGGGGGGGGGGGGTAGGGAATGGGGGGGGGGGGGGTCGTGCCGAGGTCCGGCCCAAGGGGGGGGTCGTATCCGGCGGTCGCGTGCCGCACCCCCCGCTTTACCCTGGTTATGTGCCTCAACAGGCGAACACTGGAGTTCGCGCGCGTCAAACCGCGCCGTCGTTAATTGCCGCACGCGCGACGTCGCTCAAGCGATGCTATTTGTAACTGCATACATGACTAGTTCTCAATGTATGTGTAACGATATGGCACCAAATTTTGTATGCGAACGGAGAGGGGCTAATGGAAACATAGTATGAAAAATTATGAAAAACTTATGCGAACGAAACGAGTAATTAGCATTTTTTCCGAGAATTTCGCAAAACTGGTAAATGAAGATGTGAATTCAAACGGCTCGTTTGGAACGCGCAGATGAACGATATGGTATGAAACTTGGTAAGTACATGCACACGGGCTTGCAGGGCTTAACTGAGGAGTTTCATTGAAAAATTATGTGACTGAAGGTTGTGGCAAACCTTTTTCTGAAAATTTTGCGCTACCAAAGAAATGGAAAAATGGCTCGTTTGCAACGCAGAGGTAACGAAATCGCGCGAGTTTCGGTGTGTATATGCGCAATAGGACTAAGTAATAAAGTGTTAAATATTATGAAAAACTTATGTGAATGAAGAGCGTGCTTAACTAATTTCCAAATTAGGTCGGCATTTGCCGACCTGATTCCCACCTGAGGTCGGCAAAACTCTCAATTCACATAATTTTTTCAAATTTTTTACATAAATCTGTTGTACACCCAAAGTTTACTACATGGTGAAATTTTGGTTCCGAAACTCCTCCTCTTGTCCTTGTTAGAGCCCAAAATCGCATCAGCAGCCTAGCTTTTTAAGATAGAAAGCGCGCCCCAGTCAATCAGTACGCGCGGGAACGGCGTCTCTCATTCCTATGACTGCGTTTCTTTGATATTTTCTCATTCCTTAATCATTCTTCTTGCTTATTTTTCTTCCTGTTTTCTATTTTGATACAGGAGGAGTAATTTGAGGAATTTGAGCAATTTGGGCGCTTTTGAGCGCTTTTAGGCGAAGTGTGGCCGGTAATCTCGTCGTACAAGCACGAAACGTCATTTTTGGGCTCAAGGGGGTATTCGTAAAATTTATTGGGATCAAAGGAGAATTCGTTTTGGAAAACCCCGTTTGCCCACCTCGTGCCGGGCCCTGAGTATTGATACTGCAGAAAAGGGGTGGAGAATATGGCCTAAAAGGACGGGAAGGTAGAAGGACAAAGTGTGGTTTTTGGCCATCCCCTCAAACGATGACCCGGGCTGGACCAGGAAAGCCAGGTAGTAGTACTACTATAATAAGCGCTGAGGCCGCCCATCTTATTATTTGTGTATATCTGTTTGCCAGGGACTTACGGGGGTCAAAAATAGGGTCAAAGGGGAAGTCGTAAGAAATTTTGGCTTCAAAGGGGATATCGTTTTCAAAATTCTGAAATGCCACCTCCTGCCTGGCCCTGGATCGAACTCGTGCGGCTGCCAATGGTTTTGCGTTTTTGCAAATCTCCGTACTTTATCTGAAAATCATCTGTAAACAGCCAATATCGGTAGTTTCCTTTATGTATGCATGCAAAATACACTGCCGCAGTGAGGACGTTATCAAATGTATTCACAGCAGAAAGCGCAAAACATGTCAGCTAGGGGTTTGCTATAGTTTTATTAACCTAATGGACGAAGACGCACGAAACGAACGCGCTAGGTTGCTTACCCAAATAGAAAACAATGCATTCCCGGTCGCACAGCATGCCTCCCCTGCCGGGAGAATTGCTCTCAAACTTACGCGCAAACCAATCTTACACGCGCCAGGACGAGTTGGCAATCCTCCTCTCACCACTGGAGGCTGCCCGCCGCAATGCTGTAACCAACGGGTCCTGCAACGATCCAGCTCTCCAGCCTTGCCACACTCGTCCAATTTGAAAGCGAAGGACATTGAAAAAGCTCGTTTTCGCCATTCTCAAGCTCTCTAAAGTGCATTTTCGAGGTCAGGGCATCGGATAACCCCAGTTAAGCGAGAAATTCATTAGGTAAGATTTGCCGAGCTACTGCCTTTAAGCGTCGACCCTTCGTGGATCCTCATGTCGCGCTTAAATTAAGTATTGATTATGGGCGGGTGGGGACGAGGCGGACCCTCTTCCCGTGTTTTACTCCCGTAGTTTAGTTTTAACTAGTTTCTTTCTTTTGTGTATTCTGTAATTGGGATAAATGTCAGCCGAGTAATCTAGCAGCGCGTTTGTCGTTCTGTTTATCACATAGCGGGGTCGTTGTAATGTAGCCGCGCCAAGTACCTAACCGGCCTGGGGTTTGGAGGTAGTTGGTGCTGGGTTGTGCAGCCAGTTGAGCGAGCAAGGGGCGCTGAACCGAGCTCCAACAACTACTGAGTACACCACCGCTTTTGGATTTTCCATCATATTTTAGTCAGCGACTCTAGTGCTGAAGGAAGAAGAAAAGATCTGAGCGGTCCGGCAATTGTCGAACTGGTTAACTCATCCACAAAGTAGGCTTCTTTTCATTCCATCATTATGTCCTATTTTGTGGGACTATTTAGGTTAGATTTTGGTGGTTTTAGGCTACGAAACGCAAAAGTTGTGGCAGCTGTGACTGTGCCTGATGAGCGAGCTGTGATCGAAGCGTTGTTGGTGGAGCGTTGTAGTGACAGTGGTAAAATATCGGACTACATTTATATAAATACTACTTAGTCTTTAGACGTGATCATAACGACCGGTGGGACTGGATTTGCTGCTAGGGATGTTACGCCAGAGGTTAGATTAATTGCTCACGAATTTATGAGCGTGAAGCACGAATTCGGATTTTAGGCGACAATAGATGTTGTGGACCGCCGCTGCACGGGTTTGGAAGTGGCTTTACATTCCCATTCATTAGCAGCTACGCCTCTGGCCGCCCTGAGTAGAGCGGTGGCAGGCATACGCGGCAAGACTCTCATTGTAAATTTTCCGGGAAGCGTAAAAGCTGTTAAGGTAAATTATTCCGAATAATCGGGCAGTCTTTGCCGAACTTAAAAATGCATTGTCTCGTATTTTGTTAACGTTTGAGCGCAACACCTGATCCTAGGCCAGGGCCTGGCACGAGTTGGTTCTTATCCTTTTCTAAAACAAAGTTCCCTTCGATTCTCGACACGCGAAATTCCGCTTGATGCATGGCGGCGCATACAGAAAAATGATTATCGGAATAATGCAGGACGTAGAGATAAATTTCCAGCTTGCTTACGGTGATGTCTGAAAATGAGCGAAATAAGCAAGTACAGGCAGGATGCTTGTGGAAATAGAGAAATAAAAAAACAAAAAGACAAAAGTTATCACCGCGAATAAAAACTTTGAGGTAAACGACATTTGCAGTAGATGGCGCACTATCCTATCCAGAGGCACTATTCGAGCTTTTAACAGCATACGATAATAGGACTCTATCAAGTTAATGCCGAAGTGCGGAGCAAAATGTAAGCAAGAAAGTCGCTCCGGGATAATGAAGAGGCACGAGGACCTCTAGGCGGCACCGCCCCCTCCAGTAATGTCCACCCATTCGTGCTTGCCCATTCAATCTTTGTTCGAAGAAACTGCCGCGGATCTTCGGGTTTTTCGTGGACTGTTGACTATGTTTGGAAACAGGGACGTGAGAAGGCCCCTATCGGCAACATGGAAGTCAAGGACCTGGGTGGAGTGTTTGCCAGATCTTTGAGGGTGCCTTCATAACGCGCCGGCAGTCGCTGCCAATAGCCCGTAGCTGCAGCCCGTAGCAGCTGCCAGCAGCCCCTAGCCACCGCTGGCCGCTTTTGTTCATAGGAGCAGAAAATCGTCAAATTTTTACTACTTTGCATACATTCGCCTAAGCTTCTCATCGCCCCTCGCTTTTTTCTTCTTGTTGCCGCCAGTATGCAGTTCCACCTCATATATCATACTTGAGTCCATTGTTGTTGTATCTTGTTGACGTAGACTGGTTATCCTTTTGGTGCTCAATTTCCTTTTTGTAGTTGAACCATAGCTCGCCAAAGTTTTTTCGCGGTGTGATTTCTCTGACTTTGGATGCCTCAAGTTCATATAGGTCGCTATTTATTCATCTTTTAAGTATGGTTCTGCTTCAGTCTTTTCCTTGGCTATCGGTTTACCTTGAATATCTCTATAATGTATAAGAACCGAACTGCACATAAGCAGCAGTAGGGGGAAAAGCGTGGGAGATGAAGCGTAGGCGTGTGCATCAAAGTAGTAAGAATGTGATGATTTTACGCCTCCATGCGAACAAAAGCGGCTAGCGGCTGCTATGGGCTGCTACGGGCTGCTAGCTGCGGCTACGGGTTGCTGTGGCTGCTACGAGCTGCTAGCGGTGGCTGTCGGCGCGGTATGAAGGCACCCTAATGTGAAATGAGGTCGTCTATGATAGGAAAACCAGAAACCTATGTGAATTCACAAATATATGCTCTAGATGACTCAGTCGTCTTGTTGGCGTTAAAGGACGACAAGTCAGCTCGATTGTCGGTTTCACCTTTCAAACTTGAGACCGCCTGCTCTAACTCGGACTGCGTGCTACACACGGTAAATCACCGCTTCATAAAATTTGCTTGGATTCCTTTATGGGTTTTAACAATTTGTTGTTGAAACCCGTAGGGAAATGCAAGATCTTATGAAGCCTCTTACCTATTTCAATATATAGACTTGAGTCTAACCTTCCAATGCTATTTTGAAGCTTGCGCCAGTTTCACTCTCATGTTAGGAACTGTTCAACAAAATTTAGCAATTGAAGAGGCGATGCGAACGTCGCAACAAGTTTTTTTGGTTTGGTTTTTGGTAGAAGATTAGCGATTTTGGTACCAGTATGATCTTTGAAGCTGGATAGATTATGCTGTTTTTGAGCGGCACCATCGCGGGAAATGGCTCGAAGACATTGCTAGACATTTTGCATTGGGCTTTTTCTTGGAAAATGAACAGCGTAACCAACATTCACAAGAAAATTTCCATTGCGTTGAGCGTCATAGGCAGTTAGTGCCCGCGTTTTCCACTACATCAGTAACTGTCTTCCTCATCGCCTGTAGGCTGTGTGGGGAGGAATACGTAGGAGAGACAAGAAGGCATGCATCAGGATCGAGAAGCACATGAATGGGTTACGAAATTTACAATTGTCAGCCCTTTTGGGTCCCACCTTATGCTGCGTCACCGAAACGCAGAGTTTGAGTCTTGATAAGCATCAAAGGAACTGAAATTTCAACTTGAGGCCTGCTGGATTTCATTCAGAATCAGCATCAAAAAGACTAGTGCATTGCTGTAATGACTGAGTTCGCGCCGTTAGTTGATTTGTGTTCTGGTCTTTCCAACCACAGGGACCCTAGTAATCTCCATGGACGGACGTACGTGGTTGCAACCTAAATTCGTTCAGCTTCATTCCTCAAGTCATGAATCTATTTGCTGGCTATTCTTATATCAAGAGTAAATCGCGAGCTGATGCGTCACATTTAACACCATGATATTCTCGTGACAGAAAGTTAGCCGGCAAGTAGATTTCCTTGCGAACTGAAACTGAGCTTGAGTTTACTGCTACCTTGTACGTCACGTCCGTGGAGATTACTACGACGACCTTAGGAGACCGACTACCTTATCGCAGCGCATACCAGCCAGCGGTAGTCCCTAACAACCTTTGACGGCTAAGGTCAGTGTTCCAGACTTAAACAAAAGTGTAATAGACTTCTCAGTTCTTTTCTTGCAGTTGAGGACATGTTTGGTAGGGTAATTCTGAAGGTATCTCAAAGACTTTATTGACTCTGATGAAGGCAATCAGGCCGATATTGACTCTTATGAAGGCAGTCAGGCCGACACATCAGCGGAATGAACTCTCTAACAATTTGGTGCCAGCTACTACAGTTACGCGAATATCTAGAACCTCATGCCAAGATTTATCGACAGTCGAACATGGAACATTATCTTATAATCTTCTGAATCGTTGATGTGACGAAACAAATGTTAAGAAACTTCTTCAGGAGTGCTGGGAAGTATTGGAGCCAATACTAAATCATGCAGTCGATCTGTTATGTGACCAAGATGATGGCTCAGTACATAAAGCCATGGCTAATGAAGATGTGTCAGGGAAGTAACCGAGATGAACTATGCGAGCTGCCCACCTTGTTTGAATTTCTTACATGTTGACACATTTAATGTTCTTTTTACACTTCTTACAAGGTTTTTGTTCATAAATGTTGTAGATCTGGATTTGGCTAACATGAAACAAAACAGACTTGGTAAAACTAATGTTCAATGCACAAGTACCATGTAAATTATGCACCAAAAAGATGATTTTCAGCAGCTGCAAAGTCTCACACGGAATCCATGTTTTGACATTCTTTTATGATAGGACCGACTCCCCCCCCCCCTTCCTGCTTTTTTCAAAGAAATTTCCGAGAAAGACTATGTATGCTGAGGTAGACTAGTCATCTATGACGTTATAAGGACATCATAATATCAGTTTTCCATGAATCTTGGCATTTTCATAATACTCCCTTTGACTGCTTAAGCCAACTACTGTTGTGATATTTTATTCTGCTTCTGCTTTGCCTTTGTCGGAGTCAGTATATGAGGTTTTGCCTTTCCAAACGCTTTATCACAGCATGTCGAACATCAATAAATTGTACAAATTGTACCACGTGCCATAAAGAAACTGTTATAAGGATAGAAATCGAGTATGGATGGTTTGACATTTTTACAGCTAAACTACATTTTAAAACTAGATTGTAATAGTCCATTTACAAATTGCTGCTATTGAATCTCGATTGACGAATTAATTACACTAATCGCTATATAATACGCTCATGGATGAGCGGTTTAGGCCCCATACCATTAATTATATCGGAATAAATCTAAAAACGGCAGCTCTCTCAATGCATGAAGCGTACCTAAAGCTTGTCATGCCGAAGGTGCTGGAAATCGTGTACGCAAGCTGACTTAATTGAAAGAAAATGGGATTTGGCGAAGTAGCATTTTATGTAATCTTTTGGTAACTTGCGAACTGTAAACAAATGGAGATGTATAAAAAGCGCGAATCGTAGACATCGGCAATAGATTGCACTTTTGAAAGCTTTGCGATTACATACGAAACATCAAATATGTAAAAGCATAGACGACGAGGCGTAGCTTGTAAGGTTTTTAACATTCATAGGAGGTAAATGATTTCGAAGGAAAGAAGGCCACATTCTGGAGATTACTGATCTTACGTAGGAGTGGAATTTCGGCCTACATGATAACACCTTGTTCAGTTTGTTCATGATAGATAGCGAAATAATTTATAGGGTGCGTCAAAAGTCTGGGAGCTTAGTGCTTTTTCAGATAAGTTTTCAGATAAGAAGGAAAGTACCTAGAAACATAAAGTTTGGTGCACTTATAATTCGAACCTTTACAAAACAGTGCAGCTTTCAGATTTCAAGGTTGCCTCTTTTGGCTTCAGAGCAGCCGTAAAAAATCGTAGCGACTCCTGTCGTGCATGCAGGTAGTCCTAATAAGATTCCAACGCCTTCATGACAACTGCTTTCATTAAGCAAATGTGCAGCAGGATAGAGCAAGCTTTTGCCTACAACATACTTCCAAGAAAATTCTTCGCAACATTTAAAAATAAAAATTTTAGAATTCTAAGAGAAGGCAAGTGTACTCGCACACTGGAAATTTGGATGCTATTGCGCGAAGGGAAGCGGAAATCATAACGCAAGAAGTATTTGAATTTGCTCCATTGACGAAATTCAACTGGATGCTTATATATAAGACTTATAGAGAACATTTAGCCTAGGACTCAATGCCTGCGCGTATTTATAGCTTTTAAATTTCTTTTGAAGACAGATGATTAATGGCATGCAGATAACATTCGCAAACTTTTTTTTGAAACAACAACTTCTGGGGAACGCAAATACGATGTGGTAGCGCAAAGCCTCCTCTACAATGTGTGCATCAAAGGATTACAGAATTTTCAAAGTATGTCTAGCTACAAGATAATATGTTAATACTTGAAATAATGATTTTCTCGCTCCGTATGAGCACGTATGTATAATAATTTCAACTTTTGCAAGAGCGTATAGCAAACATTTTCAGCTAGGTATATTGTGATTTGAAGAAGATAATCGCAGCATTACCACAAAACTGACCAAAATCATGAGTATTTCTGTAATTTACAGCATGGTCAGGTTGGTTCCCAGACTTTTGACGCACCCTGTATAGACTTATAGGCGGCTGGAATCAAGTTTAGCACAGTATAGCATTTCTCGCGCCCTCTTAACCCTAAATGTTAGTAGGGTCTCGTGGGTGATCTGCCAAAAACGAAGTTCCAGTTCGACGGCCTTTGTCCCATTCAAAAATAAAGCCGGACAAATTTATATCGTCAAACTACATTCAACCAAGCACGCATTATCATCGCATCAAACTAATATGCACTACCGCTTATTGAAAAATCTCATGCGATCACTCCTCTTCCGAATAAATCGCACTATTTAAGGTTGATCTTATATATAAAGCTGAATGTCTGTTTGTATGTCTGTCTGTATGTCTGTCTGTCTGTCTGTCTGCCTGCGTGTGTGTACGTATGTTCCGAATAAAAAATTCCATTTCTGAACCGATCCGAACCAAACCTGGCACACATACACTTCGGGCCCCGGCGGGTGTCATAGGCTACTTTTAGTTATCGATCGATATTGATTTTATTGATTTTTATCGATTTTTTCCAGAGTTCAGCTACGGGGCTGGGAGTTCGTACAGGGGGGTAATCGAGCATGGGGGTTCCGAATACAATATTAGTTTTCAGGATTATCGAGTACTTTCATCGATTTTATCGATTTTTCGCAAAGTTTGAGCTACGGGGATGGGAGTTTGCACAGGAGGGTAATCGAGCATGGGGATTCCGAATACAATATTAGTTTTTAAGATCGTCTACTTTTATCAGTTTTATCGATTTTCTGCAAAGTTTGAGCAACGGGGCTGGGAGTTGGCACAGGGGGGTAATCGAGCATGCTGTTTACTAAAACAGCGGGAATAGTGATTTGGCATGTAGGCGTGGGCACTATACTTGGGACCGAATCGAATGATTATTCGATTATTCGAATAAATCATTCGAATGCGAATCATTCGAAAAGTCGAATATTCGAAAATCTGAGATTTCGAATAAAATTCGAAAGTCGAATATTCGAAATTTTCAATTTTCGAATATTATTCGAAAGTCGAATATTCGATGGTCATCAATTCGATCATTCGATGGTCATCGAATATTCGAATCATTCGATGAACATCGAATATTCGAATATTCGATAATTTGAATGATGATACCAGAGCCCGGCGCAGATTGTATGGAAGCAAGCTGGGTTTGGTTTTTGGGGCGGAAAAGCAAAAGGATATCAAGTTTGTGGCCAAAAATTGCGACGTTTTTCAGTCGGCGTTTCGTCTTTTGAGAGTTTTTTACGTTTACGGCTGACAGTCAAAGATGACTTCGTTTTTAAGAAGCCTAGGAACGATTTCATGCTGGGCCCTGGATGGTAAGTCTAGCACGTCACTGTAGGAGACTTTTTACCAAGCTGCAACTCTCAATAGGGAGTGTATAGGCGCCGTAAAACCTAACTGCCCGCGTCGTGCCTTGAACACCAGCGTAAGCGAGCGGTCGTCACGAACGAATGTCGGCGTTCACTTTATTCCAAGAAATCTTTCTTTAACTTTCATGTTGTTCTCGTCAATGCAGGGTATATTGACGAAAGCTCTTTTCAAAAGTTTAAAAAAGTATGTGCGGAAAGGGTGCGCGCTCACTGTTGCTTGCGAAAGGCCTGTAGCGCTTCGGGACCAAACGTTCTCAGCCGCGTCGCACGTTGGTGTTCAAAGCGACGCGTGGGCGATTGGAGATTACGGGGGCCTGTATATTCTTTGTGGTCCTGGCGCAGTAGTCTGTACAGTAATCTTGATGCGCCATTTCTGTTGCAGATGTAGCTGCTATCATTTTTCGCTATCCAGGGACGCCAGATTTTGATGTTCTACACAGCGTCTATCACTTCTTCATGAGCGTCATTGAGTAAACTCTGAAATTTAAACTTAGAGTTTGAACGTTTAGATCCACCGTAACACAGCTTTATGACAGCAACAGGGAAAAGTGAAAAATGAGTAAAGGGTATTCGAAAAATCGTGACGATGGCGCGACCGCGCGCGATCACGCGCGACACGCACGCACCTCTCGACAACCGCATTTTCTAGGTTTTCTTCTCTCCTTGAATGGTTTTTCTGCTTACGTATGACAGTATTTAGACATTGGAAGAGACTGAGCTGAGAGTTGAGGTGATGCCGTTTCGTATGAGTGTTTTCTGCACCTGTGGGCTCAAAGACCAGTCAAATCCGTCGTCACGATTTTACAAACGGCCTATACCATATTTTTGATCTGCGCACCGACCAACCTCCTAGACCAAGGTTTAACAACGTTTCAAAATTTTGTAGATACCGGGCATTACGATACCCCCCCCCCCCCCCACAAGCCTGCTGAAAGTATGAGCAAAATATACTCCGGAGGACTTTTTAGCTGCATCTCTTCTTTTGTACACTATTTCTCTTTCTCTGACCAAACTCAGATTTATCTCTGAGTTCAAAGCAGATAACTGTAACGCCCACCAAACTCAGAGTTATCGCAAAGCACAGCTGCGCGTTTGGTGGCACTATTTCTTGTGCAGAACGATTTCGACAATGTTTTCCTACTAGGGATGAATTACCGGTTACGGAGTCTGCCATATATCGCTTTCTAGATTTGGACCAATCAACTGTTGAAGGGGTAAGAAAGGAGCGAGTCAGCTCAGATATAACTCAGAGTCAAGTCAGAGTAACTTTGAATTCCGACCAGATTACTACCGACCCTGACGTCTAGTGCCTTTTCTTCATTCGCATTCGGAAAAGGTGATAGATGTTAAAGTAAACGTGAAGATATTACTGATATCGTCGCAGCGTTACTTCCACTCGACATCGTAAATTGAGGGTGTATTCAAGATAATGCATTAGTGACCGGAAGGATAGTGTTGTGTCAAGAAATTTGTCGTTTGTTGTAGTGCGAGAAAGGGATATGGTAGAACCAGTCACTGTATAGTAAATATTTCCAGCAACGGTCTAGCTTATCGCATTGCCAACGAGAGGAAGGTTGCTTATTGCCACGAGTGTCGAGTTGAAAGTTGTTGGTAAAGCACTTATACAGTTCAACAATGTGTATACTATATGTG